ATTCAGTTTGATTTGGTAAAGTATTCCACTATCCACAACTTTAGTACATCTGTTAAAGTGGTCAGCTTGGGATGTTTTCTTTTAAGGTAGGGTATACTATAGAGCTACAAATGCCTGTTTGAGATAACCTTTTCTTTCACGCTTTCATAAATGGTGGTTCAATCACCTCTCTGTCTTCACCAAACCCCCTGCCAGCCCAGCCCCCTGCATCCTGGACAGAGTGCTGAATCAGAGCTCACTCCCTTTCCGCTAACGCCGACCTAATGACTCCGGTTGGCCTGATTAACTTCTCTTCATGACCTTTTGCTTCCTTTAGGTTGACTTAACACGTAGAAAGTGGCCTAAGGTGTTCATTAAACAGACACTGATGTCATTATCGACTCCTGAGGATTTTTTCTGTGACTCTTTTCTACAGACAATATATATTGTATTTAATTGTTTTAGCAGTGAAACAGAACAGCAAGCACATAACACTCAAAAACGGACCTAATTTGAAATCAGGAAGATTAACCTCTTATTCCCAAAGCATCCTTTTATTAAATCTTCTTAAAAATTACAAGCCCAAAAAGAATTCTCTAAATCTTAGCATGGGAACTACAGGGTTTATTACAATTGTTCTGGTACTTAAATTAAATTAAAACTCCAGGGAATACCTCAGACATCTAAAACCCCACACTTGCTGAGTCAGAGTCAATCAATATGAAATACAGGAGAAAATTACTACTAAAAATTCCACTAAAAATGCACTTTGTGAAGTAAATATTTCTTGAAAATATGTGGTTGCAATGCTTATTATCCAGAAAACCATAATTCAGGACCCGAGCAATTGCTCATGTAGAATTGAGGTAGAATTGATTTATTTGTTTTTATTCAGCTTTTATTTTTCTTCTATTTCATTATCTAATTCATGTAAAGAACTTTGAATTATCCATGTACTGAATTGTGCAATACAAATAAAATTGCCTTGCCTTGCCATGTGAGCAATTTAAAGTTTCTTTCGTTTTTTCTTTTATTCTGTATTCTGTGCTTTTATCAGACCATAGAGTGTTTGCGCTCAGCTACAAACACTGCAGTTAGCTAAGTCTTGGTTGTTGTTGGGTGGTTAATGTTGTGTCCATCATTTAGCAGAGCCTTGTTTTTCCTGTTATATGAATGTGCCTCATGCATAACTTGGTTGTTGTTTAAGAACCAAGGAATATTCTTTTCCAAAATTAGGGTACCCTTGTGTTCAAGGGGTTAAAGAAACTGATTTGGGCCCTTGGACACTTTATCCCCACATGTCTGTGTTCTGTGTGGTTTGTTCTTTATTGAATAGGCAATACCGAAACTTATTTTTGCCCTACTTCTCCAGGCTAGGTGACAAATAAAGTTCTTTGAATCTCTTTGAAGCCAAGAGAAAGATGACCTCCTATTGTGGCAGTGTTCATATGTACCCTATTACCCGCCCATTTGCCTTCTTTGAAAAGGAAACACCTATATTAACCTGTTTTTCTTCTACAGCCATCACTCCTATCAATAAGGTTATGATGGATGCTCTCAAAAGAAGTCACCTCTTCCAAAAAATTTTTTGCGTACAGCAAAAAGGGAAATGTAACATTTTTACCAATTTCCTCTATGGTTTTAGCCTGATAAGTGTCTATTTCCAGGGGTTCAGCTGTTAAAGGCATCATTTTGTCTCCACCCAAGTGATGAGGAAGTCAAGGTTAAAGTCTGGCCAACTGAAGCAACATTGGAGACATTGGTAATTGAAAAACAACTGGAACATAGTTGCGGATTACCTATACCTAGGGTAGACATAGATCATAGGTAATAGATCTAACAGTCTGGTTTCTGCCTTAAGCCTCTGTCACACCTTGATTATGTGGCCAGTGTATGCCTGACCTCCCAGAATCTTCTAAAACTCTGGCATACGCTGAACTTTCTATGTATTTTTTCACTTTTGGGAGCATTCATAACGGGTCCAGAACTTATGTCCAACTTCAGCCTAATTTATGCATAATGCATGGCAGCGCAATGCCCATGAAATGTCACAAGCCAGTGTCCTGAGGGGAGTCAGCAATGCGCTAGCTGCTATTTAACGCCAGCCAAAAAAAAAGAACAAAAAGGAATCAAAAGAAAAAAGAAAGAAGGTTCAGCAGATTCAGCATTATGTCTGCTAGAAAATTTGTTTTTCGTGGCCCTGAACGCAGTGAGCATCCATTACACTCACCTTCTCGCTCACCCTATGATACTCAGGGCTGGTTATACTCCCACAACAGTATGTCGCAGTGAGCTTGTCACAGGCATGACAGATTTATTTTTGATGTATGCCCAATTTTGAAGCATGGTCTGTGCTATGTTATTCCACGCCACAACGCAAGAGGGACAATCACGAACTAGCTGTGGGTCTGCATACGGCCAAGGCAGAGAGGAAGTGGAAAAAGGCAAGGGGCAAGTTTGCGTGACAACGGAAGGACATGCGAGCAAAAAAAAGTGGGGATCCAGGTGGAAAAGAGTCCCAGCGATTTGCACACCTCGTTCTTCTAGCTGGTCCAACTTCACAAGTCGTTTTCCACAGTGGCAGTTATACAAACAAAACAAACCGGTGAGGTACCAAACAGGAAATATGCATAGTGTAGAGTGGATATAGATTTGACCAATCAGAGGCCTCCAATATGAGGCACTGTCTGCAGTCACCTACAATTTTGAAGAGGTGCACCAGAATGTCTGCGGAAGGGGCGGGGGCGTATCTGCATTGACTGCGATACACATGCAGACGACCTGGTTTGTGAGTATAAACCAGCCTGAAGTCTGGAGGAGAACAAAAGGTTTCCTCCTGTGAACCCCCTTTCATACCAAAACGCTGCCAATATGCCATTATACAGTAGCTGTAAGTTACAAACATGTTTAGCAGTCATCTGGAACACATCAAATACTTGGATATTTGCATTGCATTGGAGATAAGTTCTTGATAAGTTACGCATAAGTTATGCACAAGTTTCTCAAAGGTTTTGGATAAACTAGACGGCACAACTTATAAGTAACTTACAATTAACATATGTCAGCGATCACATAACTTACCTGTAACTAATGGCCCATGTATGAGTATACGCTGGCTCAAAATTTCTTTATGTACTCGCTGTATTTCGACATATGCCAGCGTGCTTCGGCATGCTTATAACTTATACAAAACTGACCCATAATTTATCCAACATATGCCAGTGTTTTTGCCAGGCATATGCTGGCTAAATCGTCAAGGTGTGACAGGGGCTTTAATTTAATTGAACTTTATTGATCTTACACTGGAGAAATTCACCTCTGCATTCAACCCATCCCCTTGCGAAGCAGTGGGCTGCCAATTGCGCGGCGCCCGGGGAGAAGTGTGGGGTTAGGGGTCTTGCTCAGGGACCCAGAGTGGGAGTGGGGCTTGTACTCAGAACCTCTGAATACCAAGCACAATGCTTAGGATATAATTAATTGCATAAAGTGTTGACACACAAAAAAAATAAAATAAAGATTTGCTGCTATGATCTTTGGTAATAATGAGGCATGATTCACACTCAATCCTTATATCCTCCATAATGATGAAATCAATAAAAAGTCCTTATTCTATGCTGGGTTTTAAGAATAGCTCCAGTTTAGTGAAGAAAACTTGATTGAAACAATCAAGCCTTCGAAATGAACTTTGAAACACGTTTTGTTTGCTTTTCTTATTTCTTTGTTCATTTTCTAAATTATTTTTACAAACTTTTTATCAACACATAATTTTCATGCAATTGACCACACTGTATAATATGTTGTACTGAATTAGACAGAGTGTATTGGACTGAGTGTCTGAACCTGTTTTTTTTACTCGTTTGCATCGCACGAATAATTAACTGTAACCATTTATGAACTTTGGTCATTGATTTTCTTAACCTTAACCCTTAATAGGGCACTCAGTGAAATACTTTGAAAATCAAAACTTCAAGCCAATAGTGTTATTGGAATCCAGGAAGAGATCGTATTACCTTTGTAACATTCAAAAAATATGTATATTTTGATGGCAAAAAATGAATGTCAATGTAATAACAAGGAACGCCAACTTGCCCGAATATATTAAGAAAAATAACAAAAGTGCTTCTATAAGAAATTCATGAAAAACACTCTGAGAGTAAAAGAAATTTTTTTTTTTTTTGGTACAACATAACCTTAGAGGTATTAATGCTGGTAATGGCACTTACATTTTTTACTTTATAAACCTAAATATAATTGTTAACTAGGCTTATTAACTTTTTAACTTTACCTTTCAATTAGCTTTTTATCTTTTTTTCATTTTTTCCCAACTTAATTTACAGTAGGTAATATATCATTCAAGGGCTCATCTAATTGATAAAATTCCAAAATAAGATGTACAGCCATGTAGCAGTATAGATCTTGTGCTTCTGGACCTCACTGAGGGATGGGGGGGGAATCCATTTGTAAGGGGTATGCAAGTGATCAAAAATGGTATCTTGCCCCATAAAGGCTTAATACAGCTGTTGAATGTACCTTTATTGGGATAAACCAGGCTGAAATAGATTTGATCGGTTTAAAATGGATTGGGATCAATGTACGTTTGTTTTAAAAATTTCCCTGAGATTCTGGGATAAAAATAATGTCTGCCATTTCCTCTAGTGCGTTAAGTAGACTTGTGATGTATATTAGCATAAAACAAAAATTGTGAACTTTTAGAAGATCAACGAAAACATTAGTTGCCAGGTGTTCATTACTTATAAAAAGAAATACAAATGAAAAAAAATCAATTTAGGAGTATAGTGGAACGTTTGGTATGAATAAACAAACAGCAGAGGTAGAAGCGTTGCTTCTTGTAAAATGTTTTAGCAAAAACAGAAAGTAAGCTATTATATTTTGATTCTTTATTTTCTGCGTAACATCAAAACTAACCTCATAATGTGGACGCATCATATAGAAGATTGGTTAATATGTTTAGATTACCTCTGAAAAACGTCCCACCCCCTACAGCAGAAACCGAAATGGTTTCTCCCACGGTAGCAGCCGTCGGCCCAGACCAGCGCTCAGCTATGACTGCAAATCAATGAACCCGCCTGAGACAAACAGGACGCGGACCGGTCGACCGAAGTTTGGATCATTTTCAGAGGGGTTTTAATAACAACCGGACAGTTGAACCCGGGACATGGATACGGCAAATATGGACAAAAAGCTATTTCCGTCTTCTTTCTCGGACTAAAGAGGTCGCCCTTTTTTCTCAACTAATATTCAACCCACAAGCGAAATTTGATGATTTTTTTTTTTGCTGACTTAAAGTTAAAGTAACATTTTGTTCACATTGAGAATGATTTTTGCAAATACAGGAAACCCATTAAGGACTCCGTATCGCAAGCAGGTAAACCTCCTCAGTCTATATTTAATAACTATAATAAAATAATAATAATAAAAAAGAACTCCCAGCTCCTCTAAGCTGACTATAAAGTCGCAAATCGGGGTCGCAACTTTAGTGCAATAATATAAAGCTTTAAAGTTGCAATAGAGAACGTTTGTTCATTTAAGTCAATTTCTTGATCATAATTTGAGTTGAATTGCGTATAAGAAATATTCATTTTATTTGGCTCTAGTCCAGGATACGGGACTCAGACAGTCGGGACACTTTGTTACATAAACACCAGTCTCAGACTAAGCGTTAGTTCTTATGTTTTGTATCGTTTGAACAACCAACTACCCTTAAAAAGCAAGATTACATATAGGAAATGATACTTTGAAGTAGCTGGTCTTAAAGGTGGGTTTTAGTTGCGTTCAAATGTGCTGTTTCCAGATGTTTTAAGTGAGCAAATCAAACATTATGATTATTATTATGCTGATATTTCCATTTGGGTTTATATTATTCCACCAATGCAAAGCTGATAAACTCTTTTTCTACAGTTTCTTGTTGATTTTTTTGAGATTTATTTATTTTTTTATGGGACGCATTTCCTCGGCATTGCTCATGGTATTTTATCCTGTGGCTGGAGCTTCATGGGCGAGGCCTGTTACTGGAAACCCTGCGTATATTTCCGGCGAGCCTATGACGGCCCTGCTGGTCTGGTGCTGGCTGATAAGATGCCATCCTATCCCTTCCTCCACCGCCACTATTCCAGCGCTGCTGCTGTTGCTGAGCTTTCTGCCAGCTGTGTTAAAACAACAACAAAAAAAGAGAGAAAAACTTCCTCGCAGTTTCACAGGAAAAAGGGGATGTTGTAATTCCAAAGGCTGGAGGGAGAAAAAAAAATAAGGCTCAGGTTTCTTTGGTTCTTCTTTTTCAACTACTTTGGCATTTGTTATAACCTGCCTGTAAAACTTTTTACTTCCACACATTTTGTTCATTTGTCTTTGCTTCAATGGATTCCTTTACACATTTCCTTTCTTATCTGTACTCCAATATCACATGATGCACACTAATACAATTACTTTGAAATCTATATGATTTATATTTGAGTGAATTTATAGATTCCTGAGTATTGCTACCAATCAGCTGGAGACAATCAAAAGACATCGGTTGGTCAGGCTTGTTTCATGCTCAAAGGCATGTGAGGCACTTGACCGTTCGGTCACAAGAGAAGATCTTCTGGGCCGTGGTCCCAACTTGGGTTGCTCAATCCTGTCACCACCTCATGCTTGGGATTCCATGAGCTTCCTCTCGGCTCAGGATTCCTCAGAGAAGCGGGGGTGGGTTGGAGATAATCAGTATCAGATAGTAAGAAGGAGAACAAATCCCTGAAGGGGAAAAGACCAGGACATCTGGGTTTGTTAAACAGAAAGCACAAAGTTGCACAATTACAGCTCTCTCTCACCCACATGGAAGAAATACCCAAAATGCATTGCTGAAATGTAGAAAATCTTAAGATATATGAAACCGGACATACGTGGATAAAAAAAAACACAATGGACTTTTGCTTCAACTTGTGTAACATTAAAAGAGACTTAAGATTTCCTGTTTTTAGGATGACTAATTCCGGTAAATGCCATAATAATAGGCAGAATTGGTTATGGCATTGTTCCTTTACTCTCTTCTAATTCAGAAGTTTTGTTTCATGTTTCTTTGTGTTCATTATTAGTGCTTTTTAAACCCTACCAATCATGTTAGGTAAGTCGGCTCTAAGGTTTCCTTTCCCTTGCTTCTAATCCTCTGGTTGATGTCTTGAAGATGTTGCTTTAGTATTTCCTCATAATGTTCTTTCCCCATGATGCTATTTTAGGAAGCATACCAGTCGCTCCTCCTGCAACCCATAAAAAAAAAAACCTACTACGTGATACCAATAGTCACTATGCCCAAACACTTCCATTTTCGTTTCGTCAAACCACAAGACATGTCTCCAAAGATAAAGGTGTATCTCTGAGTGTGGTCGGAGTCTTTCCTTTGCTTTTGGAGTAATGGAGTAGTGGCTCTTCAAGCAATGTCAAAACTTGTCAATTTTTGCTAAAATTTCAGTATGTTTAGGCCTATAGCTTTTCTTCTGTTTTTTTCTTCTTTTTTTCACCAAAACGTGTTAATCTCAGGAAGAAAAAAAGATGTCTTCTTTTTGAGCAGCATTATAGCTGGAAGATCTCGTGCTCTTCAGACTCGTGTATAAATGAACAGATGCTATCTAAACACATCTCTTGGATTTTCTTCGATGATGTAACACAAGGCGGTATTGTATTTGAAATGTTGCCTTTCAACATGTTCATAGGTGTGTGACCCAGGACTCAGTGATCAATTTAATTTGCTGTTTATGAACAGTACAGTCTTTGAATTTTTATTTTTTTAAACCAATGGACTCTTTTGCTACCTTTGGACAGTGTGATGTCATCACTTTTTGTGCTGATATGTTGACTCATAACTGAGAGACTTGCACATACCTCTAATACCTTTCTATGAAAACATTTTGCACCTCATATTTTCTTTTCCTTTTTAAAAAAAGCATGTGTCACGGTATGTGTTTCATGGAATTCAGGTCAACTCTATGCAAGGATGATTAAAATAAAAGCAAGTTTTTAGAAGTATTTTCTGTCCATATTAGATTGAATTTGGAATGAAAAAAACAAACCCACAAATAAGCCCACTTTTACATCTCACTTAAATATTGTGAAGCTTACAAAGGCCATGAAATCATCATTCAAGGTTTTTTTTTTTTTTGTTATTATAAGATCAGTACCACTAAAAAGCTCTGACTTTTAAGACATTATCAAGGTAATAACACTGAATAATTTTGCCATTTTGTAAATAAAAATCATTTAATCCATCCTATCTATACTAAAAGAGATACAATTTAGTATGATATTATGTTAGACAGTCAGAAAAAGTTGTATTTTATACACATTTGTATACATTTATCTTAGCTTTAAACTGTTAGCTAAATTTAATGCAGGCTAAGTTAAAAAATAATGCCTTGAGAAACAAATGCAACACATCTAAGTATGAAGGAGTTCCCTGTATACCTGTGGGACTGGCTACAAAGGGAAGATCAATACTGCTGTCTGCATCAGAATCACTAAATAGAGCGGAACTTCCATGCTATAACTCCATAATTGCTAACCCCTGTATTTTTATATCTATATTTAAAATGTTCTCTTTTAAGCTATTTCTGCAGGGCTTTCAGACCCCTTTGCACTGAAGAGAAGCTAATCTGGATTTTTGATGCATACATTTCTTAATCCTTTCATTATATGCAACAGTGAGCAAGCAGTATTATATTTCGATTCTTATCTTGAATCAAAATGTTACGATGTACATGTTCATTAAAACATTTTACTTAGTTGTCTTTTGATTATCAAGATGTTTTTGTATGTTTCTACTTGCCAGCCTCCTGTTGCCCAGTTATCCCACCCGATGGCTCCACCCAGCCCAAGCACCAACAACAGCGGCAGCAGCTCAGGAGGCTGGGAACCTCTGAGTAAAACGAACCTCTACATCCGAGGTCTGTCCCCTTCAACCACCGACCATGACCTGGTCAAGCTCTGTCAGCCGTGAGTACCACACATCCTCTCCATGTTAGCTCTCATTGATTAGTTATTGATTTCTTTATTCTGCCTTGGCCAGTTTGAGTTTGCAGTGCTTGTCACTTATTGACAAAACTGGTAGAAAAACAAGACAGTGAAAAGGCTTAATGATTGATGTATAAGCTTTTTTTTAAGTGTTTTGTTTTTTTTGAAAAGTTTTACTCTTGTTACATTTTTCTGATAATGTCCGTTCACCTTCCTTACCAATAGAGCTGTAATAACCGAGCCAAAATCTATAATATTGGATTATTGTTTCTAAGTTCATACATTTGTTTCTAATAGAAGCCAGATTACTCAGTAGCAGAAATCATTTTAAAATAGTTATTTGGGTATAATGTTGAAGCTGATGTGCCTCCAATGCACCTAAAAGCCAGAACAAAATCTAGAAGTGGGGACAGGATATACAGCACACCTCGCTTACTCACAGCAGTGTAAGGTTGTGTGCACACCCTTGCAAAACCGACCACCTCTGTTTGGTTTAATCAGAAATAACCTGGGGTGCCCAATAAAAGTGTTTTTTTGTATTTTAGTGGTAAGGTCTAAATGATGTTCTAAAACTGGAACAGACAAAGTTCGATGGAACTGAATGGAAGCTGACAGGAAATGAAATCATATGTATGAGTGACGCCTGAACTGGCCTGCATACCTTAAAAAAATGTTTGGCTGCTTAAGTGCACTTTGATGCACCACTGAATTACCTCTGTTTAGTGCCTGGTTGCTACCAAAGAGGAACAGGGGTACATCTGAAAGGCTCTCTTTTTAATAGCCCTTGAGCCGCATTTAATGCTTGGAAATTACAAAGATTATGTGGATGGAACTGAAGAGGTAGCAGGAGGTATGTCAGTGCCGAGATGTCTGCAAAACCAACATATGGGTATTGTATCCAAGAAAATTCTGATGTGCCACTAGACTGTCTCTGTTTTATGACTGGAATTTAAGAAGACCTCAAAATGCACCTTGAAAAAGAGTGTCTGTTTTTTATTTTCAGGATTTTATGTGTAACTTTTTAAAATGGTAAATACAAAGCCCCCAAAAAGGTATATACTCTAGAAGAAAATGTATTGCAGTGCTCTGTTTGAGGCACATTTAGAAATAAAAGGAAGGTCAGCAGTTCAAGCCTTTTCACCTGGTTCAGTATCCACCTTAATCCTTAGCTAAAGTGTTCCTCTGACTGATTGGCACAGTACATAGTGGTATGTGTCTGCAGCAGCTGCAGCTGTTTTAAAACACAACAGACTCCCTTTAGATTGCCATGATCCTGTTTTGACATGACAATCTGCGTTAAAAATGTGCATTTTCTATTCAGATTACAGCCTGTTTAAATACTGTTATCTCAGAAATGATGTCATTGATGACAAAGTAAATTTTAAAAGTATTACTTAAATGAGTAAAATTAAAAGAAATGCTAACCAGTTGCTGCATTATGCACAAAGAATAGTTAAAAATGGCATTGCTGCTCCTTTAGATGTTATCAATGCTTTCCTTTGTTCTACGTGCAGTAAGTAACCGTTTTGAGACTGCAATATAAAATAGTTTCTAGTAACCTTAAAGTGTGGGGGCTGTAGTAAGATTTTACCATGGTAAGCCAGTTCTGACTGATAGAGGTTTTGTGTGATAAAAGTTGATAGGATCTGTGTAGTTTGGCTTGAGAAAAAAGGGACAACTTGAGATTAGTGTTTTGCACACATACTGGGGTTTTCAGCACCACATGGAAACCACTTCCTGTTTCTCATATTTTTGCAGTGATGTTATGGATTGTTGCTCAATCCTCCCTCTGTGTGAGTTTTATATAACTGTCTGCATCTGGTGCATAGGCCTGCTAACGGAAGATATTCTCTCTATTCCTCCTTCTTTAGGTATGGAAAAATAGTATCAACAAAAGCCATCCTGGACAAAACTACAAACAAATGCAAAGGTGTGTTTAGTCTTTGTTTTTTGTTTTTGTTGTTTTTTTCTCTGCCAGTCTTCTGTTTAAATGTATAAAATTACACTTAGCTCCCCTCACTGTCAAATAAAAATAACTTCGGTCTCTTTAAAATGCAGAACATTAAAGATAATCCAGTGGGAATATTTCACCAAAGTATCAGAGCTGTGGTTACAGCTGTTGATGGATCATGTTATTTTAGACCACCACTCTGCTTCCTAGCATTTCCATTTGCCCTGCTGTAAAACGTAGTTGAGTTTGTCCAATTCTGGTAGCCGGTCATGCAAATTAAAAAGGACTTATTGGCTTTTCACTTTGAGGAAGGCGTAGATTTGGTGATACAGATTAAGATATCTTGAATTTTAGTGTGTCTTTTAATTTTACTACATTTCCTGTTGTAGTTGCGATAATGTTTTGAAGACTTCTAGTATTAACCATAGCAAAGCTTAAAGTGAAATGTAGAGGAATAGTTTGCACTCTGACTCAGCTGGGAGAACTTGTTGCATTTCTCACAATTGATTTTAATTAATGTTACATAAAACAAGCAGCAGAACACAAAGTGTGTAGGTGCACCCTGTTTGCACCCCACAGGACAAAGAGCTGACCTGAGCCAGCAGTATCTGCATCCTCAGCTGTTTTTTTTTTCTTTCAGCCAAACAAACACATCACTAACTCACACACGAAGCCCCCACCCCCACCCCACACACACAGAACCGTAACCTGTATGTTAATACGCATTTAAAAGTGAGCCGTTTTGAATTTAGCTACCTTAGTAATATCTTGCAGAGACACCCTTCATTTCTTGGGGCATCTTTCTGCTAGCATCACACATCTAAAGACAGATCTGGACTAGTCTTCTATAGAGAGTAGTTCAACCAGGATAATCTCTGTAAATGGAAATTTGCAGAGGATTTGCAACATAATCTCTTTTGAATTTTGATCTTACTTTCAGTGGGCCATTCTAATTCATGAATATGTCCTTCCACTGCTGTTCTGCCTCTGTCTTTAGGATTGTTGCCTTACTGGAAGGGGAACCTCCACCCCTTCCCTCAACTCCTCTGCAGTCACTATCCTGTATTTAACTCTATTAACCATCTCATCAACTCTAGACAGCTTCCTTTTTTCACTGTGTGGGCGGTGAGTTTTCAGGTTGATCTCATCTGACCACAGTGAGTTCTTCGGTAATTTCTCCTAGAGTTCATTGTAACCCAAAAGGTTGTGGTGTTAGGATAATGAATAAAAGAGACCTGGTATTGTCAAAAGAGCTAAATCTGCACATTCACATTCAAAATATAAGAAACTATTAGCAAAAATAATTAAACTCCAAGTTAAATTTATTTCAATTCACAAATCTCAACTTGGCTAGATAAACTCAACTAAAACTATACAGCAAAAATAGATATGATGCAAGATGCAACTAATGAGCTTTGTACAAATAGTTCCATAGCTATAACCAAAGCTATATCTAAGAGATAATGCAGACCTTATACTGTCTGGCAATGCCTGAGCTCAGACTCACAAGAATAAAATCTACTATTCCTAATAGTGCAGAATCGTTTTGTATCAACTTAATTATCATAACCAGTTGTAAAAGGTACATATTTTGTATCCATCAAAATGAATAAAACAGTTATTTTTATATTATATAGATATTTTTTTTTAAGTAGAATACTTTGATTCTGCTTCCGTTTCTGGGGATTTGTTTTGATTATTTTTTAATTAATCATTTTGATGAAAAAGATGTAGCTATAGCATTTAAAACTAATCTAGACTTTAGATTGGATCTAGAAGAATCTAGAACTAATCTAGACTTAATAGAGTCCAATTTTGCAGGATGCCTAATCAGAAACCATTGATTATTTAAATGATTGATTCTAAATGCTTTTAGCGATAGCGGCTATTGGAACACAAGGGAGCTAATTTAAGATAACTATCTTTTGTCATAGTTTAGCATTTTAATAATTCAGTAATTAAAAACTTATTGAAATAAAGATGTCATACTTTTACAAACCTAAGCCAAAATATTAACATCAGGTTTAACCCTTTGAAACCAAGGGGTACCTTTTAAGATACCTCATCATTGTTACTCAACAACAATAGTGATAAACGAGCATTAATGACAACCAATATAGCAATGTATCATATCAAATTAAACTGTAGAATCTAGGCTACAAGCCAGCACAAGCCTTTGTAAAACTTGCAAAGCTAAACAAACATTATACTGAAATTAATTTAAGTGTAAAGAACAGTACATGGCACATTAGCAACCCATGAACTACATTTCTGTCTCCACAGCCACAACCCTCAATAAAACCATTCAAAAAATGCACATCAATTGAAATAAGAGACTTCGTAGAGTCGAGTCATGTTCTCCAATCTCCTATGAACCAAAGCATTGCAGAGATAGAAGCCAATAAGCAGCAAGAGATAAAACTGCTTAGCAAGAAACTAGTTTTATAAAATTATTTAAAATATCTCTTAACTTTGCTGTTTCTCTGCAAAAACAAAGTTTTACTGGTAAATCCACACATGCTTCATTGAAAGCGATCTCTATTGCAACAGAAAAACATACTTTTGGCATATCCACATGTCTTGAGCATTCAGTAGTCTATGCAAGCCACCAATCCAGATGCCTGATAAAGCTAACAGGCTGCCTTCGCTTGGCTCTGATTGGCTGAAACTTTTGTCAATCTTATCCACTTTAGTCTAGATACAGTCTACGGGCTCTAAAGATTGGATTGACGTATGATTCTTCCAACTCAACCAATCTGTGGCAGAGTTATCCCCCTGGAACCATACACAGCATGGTAGTATGAAAATGCGAGGGCGCAGATGTGTTTGTGTGGTTGAATGTTTAAATAGTTGGCCAAAATGTTTGGATTCAACTCTATTCAACATTATTAGTGATCTAAAAATAAAAAATAACATTTTCTTCATGAGAAAATGCAGATGGCACAGATGGTGCCAACTGTGCCAAATGGCCACTTTGGCAACCTTACCTGAACTTTTGTTGTGAAAAACACCTCTGTAATTCTGTTTAGCTTCATTTTAGAATTGGAGATCTTTCCAAAACCAGTGTTAACATGTTTGTACCTTAGTTTGAAAGAGAGTAATAGCTTCCAAAACATCATTTCAGATAGTTCCTGATGCTAAAAATGTGTTTTATTGTTTTCAGGCTAGATTTGAAATTTTGCTGTGCCATCTTTACTTACTCTTCATCATTAACACATATACTAATATTTACACATCACCGTGAATCTCACAAGAGTTTTCTTAAATTTGACACCAAATTTATTCAAATAGGCCTTGTGGTTGCAAAGATATAGTCACTTTGATCAGAGCATGTCATTTTGAGAAAAATGGGCCTAGGGCTCAATAATTCAAAAGTGTAGCTCAGCTTATTAGGCAGCATTGGAAAAAAAATTTAAAACAGCGAAATAAACTATCTTAAAATTGCTTCAATCGAAGCCAGATTTTTCTACTATGACAGTGGTGGTTAGCTGGGGCGTTTGGAAGTGAAGTTAGCAGATTTGGATGTGTTGAGTTGGGGCAGTGGTTGGGGAGATTTTTTGGGGGAAACAATGCAGTTTGCAGGGCTTGCAGCAGTTTGTTGGTGGCTCATATGACTTCTTCATTTCTGGGACAGTCCTGAAAGGGGAAAAAACTTTGCTTTGAATGATTTGAGATACCATCTTTGCTTCAACTCTTGTTCAACTCTTTCCTGCAACAAAACAAAGTAAGGCTAACATCTCCCTGTGTTATACTGGTTGCCGCCATGCGAAACGTGAACTATGTTTGCTGTTATTCCACTCTTGTTTCTGGGTCCCCATGACATAACATGCATCCCCATCTATAGTCTTAAATGATCTAATTCTGTTTGCCATCCATATTTCATCCCATGTTCATGTTTGTCTCATGACTGTGAGGCAAAGCACCAAGCATAATAAATCTGCTGAGAGCAGTCGGTTAAACTCTATCTTCTATTGGGGTATCTGTGTGAAAAGAGCTTGAATAATTTGTGAACTGCATCTTTTACATATTAATTGGATTATCATGGACCCATTTATGTTCTACTTCATTTGAGAATTTTGCATAAACTGCAAAGGAAATTTTTGACTTGATAAAATATTAAAAAGTCAGAGACCAAGGAGGGAATATTAATATAACACACATGTGAGCTATGTATTTGTGATTTCGTTGCTACCAAAAACAAAGAGGGGAAACACAGAAGTAGTTCTGCGGTTCAATGTGCAAGATATCAAACAGCATCCTAACTGTCCATCTAATCTCCTCAGGATACGGTTTTGTGGACTTTGATAGTCCTGCTGCAGCCCAGAAAGCCGTGGGAGCCCTAAAGACGTCTGGTGTCCAGGCCCAGATGGCCAAGGTAAGAGCTTTTGACAGATTCATCTGGATATCTGATACATGTGAGCTGCTCAGCAATGCTGCCATGAACTATAGGATGAGGGAGTCTTTGTGGGGAAAATCAGCAAAATATGATTTCTTAACTGTATGCTTTATGGACAAATGTCTTCACATATTTAATCAATGCTTTACAGCTGAATCTTGCAGGAGAATGATGAGCTCTGTTTGTGTGTGTGTGTGTTGCAACTAATGAGCTATATTTAATTTGATGAGGACTACCTTTATTTAGACATGGACAGTCGTCCCTTCACTAACCTGAATAAGTACAGCTGATGTTTCTTCGTGAAGTTCAAGGGTCCAGCATTGGCGCCACTGATTAGTGGTAATATTACAAGATGAGCTCATTTAGTATGAATATGTGTATTAACTGTGATCTAGTTTATTACGAACAAAGCCTCAGCCTTTTCTGATTATCTCAAGAAGTTTATTCATAGAGTTGTTTTCAGGAGAAAATTTGTCCAAATCTCCTCAAGAGCAGATGTAATTTTATTGTGTGTTTTTCAAGTTTTATTAATGACAGTATGGGGTTAGGAGTATGAGAACGGCTCTAACATAACCTTTCTCAAAGGGAAGTAAATATATGTGTGTTGTTATAGCAACAGGAACAAGTAGGGGGAAATCAGCTCCCTTCATAGCATCAACTAAGAAAAAAACACTGGTTACCTCATTTTGTAGTCTCTGTATCTATCAGGCATCGAAAGATAAAAACTTAGCTATTTTATTCTGATATATGGAATCTATATTACATATTTTAATTTTGCTACTGAGAAGTTTGAGCCCTTTGTTTTTTTTTTTTTTTTTTTTTTTTTATCCACCAAGCCATCACTGTGAGATCAATAAAGACAATCAATCAATCCTTCAGTAGGGTTGTTCATGCATCACTTTTCCAGAGATAAGTGGGGACTCTCTGTGAGAGCATTCATATATCTAGAAAAAAGAACTTTCTTTTTAATAGCAGGGTCATCAACAACGTTACAGCTGATTTTAACAAAGATGCACCTAAAGAGTTTGTTTGTGATTTTACAGTATTTATCATTTACAAGGAGCATTCATTAAACATATATGTTTTTAGCGTTACTGCTGTAAGCCTTAATTCATTATTTGTAGTGGAAGCAGCAGAAACGTTACAGTGCATGTGAGAGACAGAGCAGTTGTTGTAAAACTAAATAAAAAACAATTTTTTGATCTGTATTAGTGAGCGGCGGGGTATACTGTGATTTCATTCAAGCTGCCAACATGTCTAGATTTAGCATGTTCCCTGCTACACTGGTTGGAAGTAAAATAGGATAAAAGAGACCAACCTTTGTGTTATACATTGAGTTTAGGCTCATTTTATCCCCTCACCTCTAAACATCTACAAAATAGCACTAGATTGCTCCTTTTTTTCCTAACTAACTTTTAAAAAAGAGCAGAAAATGCTGGAGTTTCCTGTAACGGTTTATTTTAAGACTCTAGAAATTATTAGCAGCCTAATCCAATATGTTCTCATAGAAAGGACAGTTCTACTTGAAATAACTTCTCATATTTTCTGAACTTTAACCTTTTTTTTAAGACCTTAGCAATACTGAAAATGGGTAACCTTTACCCTTTTTACCACTACAACACTAAAGAGGAGTGTTGTTAATGTTCCCCAGTAGCTCTTCTAAGAACAGCCAATTTCTTGCCAAAGATGGAAATTCTAAAAGCCATAATAATCTAACTTGCATATCTAACTAAGGTTATGTTTCTATTAACATGCAGAGAATCATGCATGCATTCCTCATAATTCCTTCTATCAAACACTTTTGACTTCAAATTGTTGAATGAGATATTTTTGTTATATTAGCTTTTAAAATAAGAACAAAAGTATCTTGTCAAGATCCAAGTGCCTCTAACAACTAGTAAAAAGAGACTACTTCTTTATAAGGACCTATAGCTGTGTCTCATATTTCTGCTGATGGTGTTAAAAAAAAATAAAGCAGGAAGTCAGCTGAACCGAAGCTCCATCCACAGTTGGCTGCATGTACAGATCTTTTTATCCCACTGACCTTTCCCACATAAACCCCTAACAATAACAGTGGCGACACTTTTAGATAAGCAATTCATGAGGAAACCCAAAATGGAGAGGTTCTAAATTTAAAAACATTTAAAGTGAAATTCCCTTCTTTTGCACGAGTACCCAAGTTTCTCATTTTCTGTTTCAATAATCTGTCTCTTTCCCCTCTTTTTAATCATGCAGCAACAGGAACAGGATCCAACGAACCTTTACATCTCCAACTTGCCTTTATCTATGGATGAGCAGGAGCTGGAGAATATGTTGAAGCACTTTGGCCAAGTCATATCCACTCGCATTTTAAGGGACCCCAATGGAGTCAGCAGAGGAGTGGGCTTTGCAAGGTTGTATATCTGCTATTATATATGTTCGATTTAACATAAAACTTTATTAACCTGCTCTTTTGTGTACTGATATTTATTTGGTGCTAGACCCCAAAATAAAAGCCAATGGATGGCCTTCATAAGTCACAATGTTTATTTGTGTAATCCAGTAGCTCTCTGAATGCCTCAGAGGCTTGTTGGGTAAACAGAATCATGTGAACAATGGAGACCAGAGGTACAATTAGGGAAAACTAAAAAGCTGGGTTAGGTTAAACACATTTTATTTAAAAAAAAAAATACTAAAATGACAGGAATTAATCAGAGAAACATAGAGAAGGCTCATAGTAACCAAAGTCTTTCCTTGCTCTTGGACTTGCCTGACTTGAGCAGTATACAGCTGCAGAACATTATTTTATCAACAACTAAGCGTTAAAATTCAGTCTGAATTCAATTGGATCCAATAAAAGTTTTTGTTTAAACGTAGAAAATGATAACAGTGCCAGTGATGTCTATGGGCTGCCGGTGAGAGGAGAGGGAGAAACCTTTTTCAGTGTTTCTGTTTGAACAGCACAGAGAAAGAACATTCACTAACCGAGTTCAGTTCCTTGCTTGGGCCTCCCTCTCACCCTGGCTTCACCTATTGCTAGGTTAGTTAATGTTTAGCCATTTGTATGTTCTCTTCAGATTTGTCTGTTTGACTGCCTTGTCTGATGAGGACTACCTTTATTTAGGCATGTATTTGACTTTCCTCTACCATACAGGTCCTTATACGCATTGTGGCAGTGCACCTAACATTAAAAGCTAAGCTCAAACATTTAGTCTGGAGTTGATGATAGTTAGCTTTCTAATGAGATTTTCCATGAGCATTTGCTGCAACAACCTTATTATTGTTATTTTTACACCAACCTTTCGTAAAAATGTTTTCTCGTTGGTTTTATCTTGGTCTTAGTGTTGAGTCAGGTCTTCCCGACTACCACACCGACTCACTGGAGCTGTTAAGGAGATTTATAGATCCTAAGCCGAGGTGGGGTAATCTATACAGATGACAAAAGACAGGCTTTTAATTTTGCGCTTAACAAATCTGTTCTTTGTGGAAGAGTTGCAAAATTAAACCACCGTTGAACGGAAGCCATAGAGAGACACAATAAATGTGAGAGAAAGCCTTTGACAGAGAGACACTGCACTTAAAGGAAAAAGTCACTTCCTTTCAGGGTGAATCCACCATTTCCTCTTAATAATGCAGCATTGACAGGATCATGAAGTCGGGATGTCTGTCTTCAGTAAAAACCGAGAAGCTGGACAAACTTGACGAAAGCTGAATGAAGTGTTAACTATTTTGCAACACAGGGACAAGCAGTTTCTGCCACTAGATGTGTAAAGCAGGTACAAATGTAACGCAAAAGATTTGCAGCTCTTGTCTCAGCAGAACATGGTGTCACAAGATATTGAACTCAAGTGCGCTATATACAAAAGCAGGCCACACCTTTCAGATTTTTATATAGAAATATTTTTAAAAGATGTATTATTTTTTCCTCTTTAAAGTTATCCCCTTATATGTGTTGCTTTATCATAAATATTCCGAACAGTATAGACCTCAGTTAGTTAGTGATCTGTAAAAGATACAACTTGGAGGGATTTAAATACTTTTGCTACCTTTGATTACTGAAGCTTCTTCCGTCATTCGATCTGCATGTAATAATTTCCACAGAATATATCTGACATTTCTTTAAGGTCAAAAGTTGTTCTTTTTTTTTAACCAGTAAACAGGAAGAGCTCATTGCTGCACACACAGTACTAGAACCAGGAAAACAGACAAGTAGGAGTCTCACTTTCACAAGCATTAAACAGAAACAGATTGAGATGTAAATGTATGTACAACTAGAAACTCGCTTTAAAAATAGTTTTAGAGTGATTGTAAGACTTAATTACTGCATATAATTTTTGGCTTTCACCAGTCGTACTTGTACAACCTGACATTTGAATGGCTGGACAGACAAAGCCTAGATCACGATTATAAAAGCAAAACTTATTGTGCTTTTGTTGGAATTGTTGTAGCTGGGTGTGTTCCTGTAGGTGTGTTTGGATAAAATGCCCTTAAGACTACGCACTTTTGCACTCCATAAGTCATGATTTTAGCTGTCTTTAATGGTACAGCAGCACTTCCACCAAGCTGCACAGGAAACGGTTTTAGGAAAGCACCTGAGCTGCTCTTGTTACTTGAGTTATTTGCTAATATGGTATACTTCGTTTGCTTTCTCTGTGTGCAGGTTGGAGTCAACTGAAAAATGTGAAGCAGTAATTTCTCACTTTAATGGAAAGTTTATCAAAACACCTGCAGGTGTTCCAGGTAAGAGAATAGTGAAGGATTGTTACAAGGCCCACACCGCTGTTACAATGTTAGCTATTCTACTTTGCTGTTCTATATATCTATAAGATTGAAATAGGTTTCATCTTTTATGGCTGTAGCCTCTCTTTACTGGGTGGAGCTTTATCTGTGGCAAGTCACATGATTAATGCATCCAGAAGGAGTCAGTCTGTCTGGTGGTAAGCAGCTTGTAAGCACTCAGCTCAGAGTGCAGAGCAAAGACAAAAGTGAAAGCAGCTACCACTACCTCTCCAAGCTTTTTAATTGGATTATTAGACTGAAATAGTCTTTGCTAGCCAAGCCTCCTTCAGGAAGGGTAGGAGATTACATCTCCACACCTACTAAATTATATGTCTCAGTTCCCAGGCTACTTAATAAACCTATAATCCCCTCCCTTCATGGGTTAAAAGGCTGGATAGAAAGGATTGACATACACCAGAATATGATATGTGTTGTGGCAGTGCTATGTGATAAAAAAGGGTCCTTTATTACACATTCCTTACAACTCCCTCCTTCTTTAGGACCATCTGAGCCACTGTTGTGCAAGTTTGCTGATGGAGGACAGAAAAAGAGACAAAGTCATCATAAATTTGGCCAGAATGGTCGAGCCTGGGGAAGAGACTTGGATTCCAGATTGGTGAGTCGGGGCTCAGGAAACATAACTAGCAAAGTTCAAGTCCTGATCAGTTGTTTTTTAAATCATAGATAATGTAGCAGTGAGCTTGAAAAGGCATATTCACTTATTAAAGCCTTTCTGACTTTAAAGGGATTTTAAAAATACAATAAAATATATTTTGCAAGCCTTCTAATGAATTTTGATGAGAATGTGAATTTGTTTCACATTTGCTGTAATTATCATTTACCTCAATGCAATGAGTCTATGAATAGTCTCCTGGTAACCGAATTTTGCATTTGGCCTTGTTATTTAACCTGCAGATACAGTATATGATAAGTCTGATTAACCAAAGGCATGCAGTCAAACAAGTCACGTTTCAGGTTATGTGGGTTCAGTCCAGTCAGCAGGTGTTTCTGAGAACAGCTTTTACTGTCCCCAGTCCTGCTTGACTGCCTTGCTCAGGACATTCCTTCAACATGATTTGATCAAATTGCTTTGCTGTTGTCTTTTATTAGATGCTAATACCTAAACCAACAGGCTCATGTCAGTTCAGCTGTCTGGACTGACGATAAGTTACTTCTGATAAACTCTGAGTTGGACTCTAAATTTTTTTCCTATTTCAATAGAAAACAAAAATATGACAATTATTTATTGTACTTAATTCCCTATGCAATTTTCCCGAAGTATATTGGTCCATGTGTCAGTCCATTACTCGTTTCTTCCATTTATCCGTCCATCCAGTTTTCCAAGGGTTTATCTATGAACCTGTTTGTCCATCCAACTATCTATTCATCCATTAATCCATCCACCGTACCCTCATTTGTCTTGCTGGAGGCTACTAGCTTAGTTGAAGATGCTAATCTTGTGACTTCTTTTGTGTCAGGCTGGAATGACGCTGACATACGACCCCAACACAGCTGCTATGCAAAATGGGTAAGCATAGATTAAAGCGCATAGTTGCAATGACTGCACCTAACTGAAGTCAACCATTTCCATTTCCAAATGCATGTGCTTCTCTGTTCATAGCTTTTTTCCAGCTCCATACAGTATTTCTAGCCGAATGATCGCTCAAACGTCCATGTCTCCATACATGTCTCCAGTTTCAACATATCAGGTTTGTTTTGTCTTTGCAGCTCTTTATAGAAGTTCACATTTCAGTGTGCTATATCAGGAGAAAGACAGAGGGCAACGTGACCTTTAATCCTTCCGCATTGTTGGCAATAGCATGTAATCATTAGATATAGCATATTTGCTGTGGTAATGTGGAAAAATAAATGTATTTCTTTTTTTGTTTTATTCGTATTTATAAATTTTTTTCAGGTGCAGAACCCTTCCTGGATGTCCCATCAACCCTACATCATGCAGCATCCTGTAAGAGCATTTATATCCCGGTTTTCCCTGATCACTCCTCTAATGCATTTCCCTCTGTTGTTGTAACAAAACCGGAACATTTTTCTGAAAACATACATGGAAGATTAGGCAAAAGGTGAAGCTAAAATGCTAAACCGTCTGTGCAGGAATGTGAAAACAACTTCCTTTGGAGAGTCTTTATAGATAAGTGCATTTAATGACAGATGCTTAATATTTTACAACAGATGGCTCTAAATTGAGAGAAGAGCTGGGTTTTTTTTTTTTCCAGGTTTGGTAATTAGCCAGCAGATGAGAAAACACTGTCTGAGGAATCAGGCCAGCCAAGATGCTCACAGACAGCTCTGTCAGCTGTGAGCACAGGCATACTCAGATTTCACTTTTACATATTCACTCCCTACAAAGCTCTGATGTAACGTTCATCTAGAAAAACAGGTTAATGTATTTTTATTTGCATAACTGTCATTATCATCAAAAAAGGGTTCTCTAAGCATCTAAGATGCAGAGTAAAATGTATTTATTAGACATTTTGGGACTAAAAAATGCTTTTCTCTGCCATCCTCCTGTTTCTGCAGGGTGCGGTGATATCGCCATCTATAGACCCGTCTGTGTCACTGCAGCCTACTTCAATGATGAGCCCTCTTACTCAGCAGATGGGTCACCTGTCTCTAGGCGGTTCAGGAGCGGTAAGAGATGGGTTCAGAGATGAGCTTGCACTTTCTCTTATTTAATAAAAAAAGCTTTTAAAAAGTATGTGATTCATTTCTAAAAAGTAATAGATCAGTGGACCACAAACTTAGTGCTAAAAGGTGTGAAACTGATTTTTAAGGTTTGTGTAATTCCCTCTTTTTCGTGACTGGTTTATAATTCAGTTGAAGATGCTGCAACTAATTGTGTGCAGTCAAAGCTTACAGCAGGTGTTGTTCTCTTGTTAGTTTTGTATGTACACAATGTTTAATGCTTTGTTTTAAATAGCCTAATAATTGATGATTAAGGGCTATTTCATCAGGAACATACATTTACAACAGTATTTCAATTTTTGGAGGATCCAATCCATGAACGACCATATCTGTTTTTTTATTTCTTTGTAAAGATATGTCCAGTTCCACAGTTTCAGCCTCATTTTTCAGATCACAGACATCAAAGGACCCAAAAAATTTGTTAACTTACTGTTCGCTCTTATTAACCATGAAAATATTCTACGTGTTTATTTGTTTCTCATATTTGCAGTTCATGGCTGCCAACACAGCTATGCAAGGAACTTATATCCAACAGTACACACACATGCAGCCAGCAGCTGTCCCTGCTGAGGTGGGTGAATTTGAGACGATGCAGTCTTCTCTTGTAAGACAAAAACCTCAAGGCTAAAGTTGATCTCATGGTGTGTTCCAGGAAAATGGTGTCCAGACTCAAGTGGACTCATCCGACAGTCACTCCCCGTATTCCTACCAGCAGACCAAGTAGTGCTTTGGTAACATTTTGACGTGAGCAGAAGCAATCATATCTCTAAACCCAGTGGACGCTAAAGAAGTTTAAAAGATTTTTTTTTTTCCTGTTTCTTTTTTTTTTTTCTTCCTATACCTTCAGAGTTTATCTGAAATTATCAAAAGATTCATATCTTATTGAGAGTTTTATTTTCATATAAGATTGTGTTGTTTTTTTTTATGTTTTTACTGGGGTTTCTCACAGGATGCAAAAGACTCTCATTTCCATTCATGTAAATTCCAAGATTGTAAATACTTTTTATTTTAACTTTTTTTTCCTGGGTTTCTCTAAAAGACATTTTGAAAATGCGTTGTGCATGCTGTGTGCGTGTTGCTAAACTGAATTGTTCAGTGTTGTTTTCTCTTTAAAGAAACTTCTCTTTGAATTTTCCTCCATTGCTTTGACATGGCTGCCCAGAGTCAGAAGTAGTAGTAAATTGGAGACAAAAGGAAAATACAGAGACTGGCTCTCCCCTCCTAGGCCCAATGTAAAGGTATAAAAATATCCGAACAAATGGCTTGAATCAACTGACTACATGTAATTATTGTTTTGAAAGTAATATTTATTTTATAGCTTAAGGCCTTAAATTGCATGGATGTTAAAACTCTCTTGTGACATTTTCTAGCTTTTTATCATGGTATATTTTTGGTAGTTTAAATTAAACTTGGCAGGGTAAAGAATTTGGACCGAATAAATGTATTTTTTTAGGTGATAGTTGTCATTCTTAACGGCAAAAGTATAATTTCCGTTCTTTTTTTAATGAAAAGAAAACAGACATTATAGTGAAAGAACAATCAAAGCCTTACAAAAAACCACTAAAATGAGTTGGCTGGATATTTTGATTTATATATTCCTTGCTCTTTGTTAGGAAACAAACTAAATCATTTTATGTTTTGTTTCTTCAATCAATGACTGTAAGATTTGTCTTTTTAACCAGGGTTTGAGGGATTCAAACTAGACTACAGTTTGGACACTGTGCCTTTCATAAAGATTAGAATTGAGGAGGAAAGTGAGACACTTTGCCAATGGAACAAAACATTTTAGAAAGAAAAAAACAATTGCATCGTCTTATTTCAAGTGCAAATTATCTAATGATCTTATTTTAAGAGTAATAAATCTAATTTCATTGGCAAATCATCTTTTAACCTGATGAAATTAAGGGTAAAAACACCTAATTTAAGAAATCTTTACTTATTTCTAGATCGTTTTTACTGTGTATGAACACAAACACATGCGGTGGTGTGCCAGCAGATTTTTATTACAGAAACAAATGGAAAATGTTTAATTAAAATAAAAAATGCTCCAACAAATAAACAAATACAACACTGTATTTTAAAAGGAAATAGTTGTATTTAAAGTCAGTGGATGTAAGCAAGTGTTCTGCTTAAAGTTTGATCCTCAAAGCCTGTGATTTGAGCTGGTCGCCAGCCGGACCAGTGATCTACCTCAGAGTTTGCTTTCTCCTCTGCATCCGGTCGGGTTAGCAGGTCCAGCCCGTCCTTCCAGACCAAACTCCAAACTCAGGAGCTGGCTGCATACAGTTGTTTACTTTTCCTGTTATTTGTGTATGACTGCATAGTTAGAATCAAATAAGAGGACAGCTGCATTTTATTTCTAGAGCCTTCTTATACGTATAAGATTCCAGGGATTGAGTTAGAGCAATCTCAACAGATATTGCAGCCCTTCTTAAAAATCTATTAATCTTTTTAATAAGTTTTTGCAGTGCTTCTGACACTGATTCTGTCTTTTGGGGAGCAGTTCAGTCAGCGGCCCAAGACAAAGTTGTTGTTTTTTGTTGTTTTCTTTTGCCACTGCCACAATTTTTGAATCCCCCCAATGTGTACAAGAACTTTTAATGAGTACTTGGTGTCTCTTTTTAGGCACATTTCCAAATATGATAGATGCTTAACTTTTTTTTTTGTGTGTAACTTTTAATCAATAAAAACAAAAATCAGAAAGGAATTCCTAAAAAGGAAAATGGCTTCCCAGTTCAACTTTCCCATATAAAAAGTAAGAAATTATTAAGACTTTAAAACGGCTAGAAGTAAGAAAAGCAAGGGTGATGATGTTACAAAAAAAATGACTTGGTGGGAACTGCAGGAGAGCGACAGCTTGGGGTCACTAGTTTTCTAAAGCGATGATTTCACGGCTCATGTTGGCATCTTTATTATGGCAACTTGGAACTCTGGAGTGCAACAGAAATTGTTTTAGACCAAAAAATAAAAAATTGCATTGTTGTTTAAAAAAAACAAAAACAGGTTTAGTCTTTTAATATAAAGTATTGCCCCTGTAATTTGCTTGGATCTGAAACAAATGTCAAGGGCCAACTATGGTAATACTTGAGATTTTCTATGTAATGCCTGAGACTGATGAAAAATACTGTCTTAGTGAGGTTTATGCTGCTAGTGGTGTCTGAACCAAGTGCCATAGTATGGGTCAAGAGCTAAAAAGGTGCTTAAGGGAAAAAAAAAGCTCATAATAGTAACCACCATATTAAACATCCATTAAGTTATATGAAATTGTTCTAACTTATGAAGAGTTTTGTATAGACAGATTGAGGAAATACGAGATTTTCACAGAGCTGTACAAAGGTTGCTTTTTTATTTCTGCCAAAGGTAACATATATGTGCAGTTCAATTAACTTTTTTCTGTGTTTCTGTTTTACTAAATGTGTTTTGTGGCTAAAATTTATTTTCTTCTCTACATATGTTGCTCATGGTTTATTCTGTTTTTTTTTTTGACATTTTTTTTAATAAAAGCAATTTGGTTTAAAGGTTGTGTGCTTTAAGTATTTCTATAGAACTGATAAGCAAAACTATATTGCCAAAAATATTTGCTCTGCTGTCTTCTCTCATTTATGAGTTTAAATAACTTCCTAATCCAAAGCGGTTCAACATGACATCACACCACCCTTTGCTGGTAGAACAACTTCAACTCAATTAAGCCCAAAGGTCAGAGCTCTGTGCAGACCAGTCAAGTTCATACACACCAGACTCTGCTATCGATTGACCTTACGTTGTGGTCTTATGCACAGTCATGTTAGAAGAGGAAGGGACCAGCTCCAAACGGTTCCCACAAAGTTGAGATCACAGTATGGGCTCTATGCACAACTCCTTTACTTCCTGAACTGCAGGGGGCTTTTTTATTTTCTCTACTTGATGAACTGATCAATCCAGGTGTGCCTGGTCTCAGTAACCATGACAAAATGGCTAGAGACACCTGGATTAATCAATCAGTAATGAAAGACGAGGAAACAAAGAAGCTGCTTTAGGTTCAGGAATTAGTGGAGATGCCTATTGTCCAAAATGCCTTGGTATCCTGAAGCATTCAGTGTTCCTTTCACTGGAAGTGAGGGGCCAAACCCTGCTCCTGAAAAACAGCCCCACGCCATATTCCCGCCTCCACCAAACTTTACACTTGGTACAAAGCAGTCAGACAAGTACTATTCTCCTGGCAACCGCCAAACCCACACCCGTCCACTAGATTTCCAGAGTGAGAAACTTCTACCACTCTGGATTCCAGCGGAGACATGCTTTATACCACTGCATCCAACGCTTTCTGTCGAATTTGGTGATGTATGGCTTGGATGAAGCTGCTCAACCATGGAGACTTTCCATTAAGATCTCTGCACACTATTATTTTTCTTGAGCTAATCTGAACACCACATAACATTTCAAAGTGTGTACTGATTCACTCTACAGAGAGTTGCCGACCTCTTCGCAATATGTGCTTCAGCATCCACTGTCTTGTCGGTTTTGTTAGCGGAGGCTATTGACATAACATTCCCACAGGATTAGAGCAACAGCAACCCAAATGATACCTACAAAAAGAAATTCAAGCAAATTAGTCCTCTAATTAAGTTTGAATGACTTGGGATAAATATAAAAATATTGCAAGAAACTCAGAAATCTGTCAGTATTTAAAAAGAAAAAAACTTTACTGCTGCTGCATGAAAAAATAGCCTTTTTGTACAAATACTTTTTACACCAACCTGATCATTTTTTGAATACCACTTCTTTTTTTTTATTGTGTAAGATTTCAGCAGTGTTACTCTAATATTTACAATTTTCGGCTTCCCTCCCGATGCTCGGTGTTCTTTCAAATTTCTGCTGGTGGAGATAAATAAAGGCTCCAAAGAGTTATTCAAAAGCAAAGAAGTGCTCACAGAGAAAGGGTCAGTTTTTCCCATGTTAAAGTGAGTGTTTTAAAAATGTAATGCATTCAACTGCAATCCCCTTTATGTACTCACTTTCAAAACAGCTGTTAAAAAAAGAAAAGGTTTCATGGAAAATTGTTGGTGCATAAGATTTAGTCAAAGCAGTTGTATTCTGCCTACACCGTGTTTCTGCTAAAAATGGGTTTACACATCTTCCCATAAAGACTATTCAGAGAAAAGTTTGCAGCTCAGTGGAAAGAAGAGATTCCAAGAACTTTTGTCGATTGTGCAAGCAAATCTATTTAGCTGAGAATAACATTGAGATATTCAGATTAAAAACCAAGTCACATAAAGCCAACATAGGAAGCATAAAACTACCACAAAAAAAGACCAACTTAACTTAACAAGTTACACAACTCAAACACATGATGTTCTCTCATAGATGATGTTCATGATGAGGCGACAGTGGAGTCAGATGAAGGAGTTTGCCTTGCAACCGGAGAAATGTCAGTTCAAACCATGGCTCCGGTTCCCAGTGGACATGATTGGTCTACTGTAGCAGAAGCCAAGACGTTCATCGATTAGCTCTTTTGGGCTTAAAATGGCTCTTACTTTGGGATGCTATTGCGTGAAACACTTCACCCACATTGCCTACTGATGGTGGTCAGAGGACCCGGGACTCTACCAGTGTACAGCTGCCTTGCTTCTGTCAGTGAGCCCCAGGGCAGCTGTGGCTACAATGTATTTTGCCACTATCAGTGTGTACATGAATGGGTCAATGACTGAATGTAGTTTAAAGCGCTTTGGTCAAGTCCTCTGACTTGAAAAAGCACTATATAAGTACAGGCCATTTACAATTCTATTATCATGTGGTCTTTACATATTAAATCAAAGGTAGAATTTAGCTTTGTCTCCATGAGTCTACCACCCTGTTATTTCAGCAAAATCCATACCGGCTTGCACGTTTGAAATAGATGTTCATGGTCCCATTTGCTTTTCACCCACAAGGTGAAGATCTGGTAAATCCTCTATCAACACTGTCACATTTGATTGGTGACAAAATGTATGGCCTGTGCAGGGTGGGTTTGGGTATAAGGGGGGTGCAGCATTTGTGGGTGCACAGAGGCACTCTAATTGCTTGGACATACCGGACTGTGAGCAGGACTCTCCATGGCAGATGGGTCCCCCCCACAGTAGCCCGCAGAGTGTTGTGCCACCCTACGGGAAGCCACAAGCTCCAGACGAGGAGCAAAACTCACGCTCCAGCTGTCTATGTTTGTGCCACATGCGCCTGCAGGCAGCGAAGTTGAAACCTGTTTTTTTTTTTCACTTCATTAGCAAGCCTCCCTGCCCCTATTATCCACTCCTTAAGAAGACAGCCGGCATACTCTTTACAGTCAAATCTATTATGCTCTTTATATACAAATTGTTCTTGTGCAATAAATCACACATTTCATAAAAGAGATGAGCAAATGAACACATTCAAACTCACATCAACTGATCTTACTTTATTTAGTTATGATAATAGAAAAGGCAGAAGTCACGTAAACTGCAAATAACAAGCAGCAGGAAAGTTTAAATCCTTTTTATTTGATAGAGTCAAATAACAGTCATTAACTTTGCAGTATTCAATCTACCTGGATTAATATTATAGCAACAGGGGCAGTTGCTTGCATTTTGTTTTTGACATTGCGACATTGTCCTGCTAATCATGCATGTAGCTAAAGTAGGGATGAAAAGTTCCCTGTAACAAGAAGAGGCCTCCAGCAGAAACAAGCTTAGTGCAAAGGGCCTTCTGCTACGATCGACTGGGGGATTGAATAGACAGAGCACACACACAAAAGGAACTCAGAAACATTTATTAGGTAGGTCAGGAGCAACCACTGCAAGGTCGGTTGCAGTGGGCCAGAATTCAGATCTGGAATATGAAATGAGCACATATACAGTCAGTCAGAGTAAACACTCCCCAATAGCTTGGTCTCACAGAGAGACAGAGTAGAAATGCAAAATATTATTGCCATGCTCTAAGCATTTTCCAATACCGGCTTTAAAACTAAATATTGGACACTGACCATTCCATAATTCACCAATATATGGCTCTTGTCAATAGAAATAATCTGTGAGAATAGCAAATTTTTAAACACAAATTTTCTCTAGAACATTTTATGGGTTCATTGAAAAGAACGACAAGCAGATTATCACAATATTTGGTGAGAAAATGTGATATTTATATAAACATTTACGCATAACCTATACACCTTCCTTGGGCATAAGGGCATAACACATTCACATAAACATAGACATATTAACAGATTTTTTGGCACTAATGGAACCCAATAGTGTATCTTTAGCAAATAAAGAGCAAATGTTTTCACATTCATAGGACCATATTTGGGGGAATAACCACTGTTAAATATACTGTATTTATCCCCATGTTATGGAGGGGAAGAGAGCATTTCAGCCCTCTGAAATATTTGGTTCCCCCATATAACGTATGCAAAACAAGAGCAAATGTTTTCATATTCACAGGACCTGTAGTCCACAATGGGATGAATTAACACAATAAACGACTTGCAAGCAAAAATAATTAGTTACCATGGAGGGGGAACAGAGTATTTTAATGGGTTAAAATATTGAAAAGCCTGTTAGTGAATAGTCGAATAGATAAAAAACAAACAAAAAAAAAAACAGCTACAGCGTGTACCAAATTCCTGTATTCAAAATAAAAGTGTAGGCGTAATTTTTGAAGCACAGAAGCCATCAAGTTAGTATGTTAATATTTATCCTTTGTACAAATATTGATTACAAATATTTAGAGATTTGATATGAAAAATTAAAAATGGTATCTCATGAAACCAGTGGACTACCATGATCCTACATTGATTTTGAATCAATCCATCACAAAACCTGCAAACTATTGAGCAACACTACCCACATTCAGACATAAATATTTAAAAAAAAAAACTTTAAAGAGACTTAAAATCTGAAACATGAAAGATGATACCCTGGAAGCAAATGGAGAATTACGATCCAGTACTGATTTTGAATCAACTGATTCCATGACCTGGAAGCTATTGAGCTAAAAGGCTATTTTCTTGTTAGAAAATTACTTTAAAATATTTTGAATTGAAATCCAAAAATAATATGCATTACATTTGAAGCCAGTGGAGTACTATGATCCAAGACTTTTCAAGTCCAATTAATCATATGACCTATGATATAAATTGTAATCTTACTCAGATCAGAGAGGGTGCTAGGAATGTACAGAAGGCAGCTGCTCACCTCTGGGCTCACCTCTCAGGAAGTGGCCCCCGATAAACAGTTAAAAAGGCATTTTATACATCTCCAGTCTGCCACATCTTCTTATTTTACATAATACATGTTAGCAGATGATTAGACATCCATGGCTCCAGCCTTATCAAAATATTACACTTCGTTCTTAGATGAAGGACACCGCCTTCATTCATTTCCAAATCTTTGCCACGTACCGAATGAAGATTATAACTGTATATCCAGGGCCAGAGCTAGATGGGGGGCCAGGGGTGGACATGACCACCCTTAGCCAATCATTGGCCACCCCTACCATTTATTTCCTTCTAAACCAGACGGTGGCAACAGTAATATTCTCAAGTGAATGATATTAAATATTTAAATGTTTCAATTACTTGACAACAAAAACACTTTGGTATATTATGCACATCAATATGCTAACATTAAAGGTGATAAGTACAGAGTTCGTGCTCTTTTCAGAAATAGATTTTGTGTTTTATGGGGTAAAGAAAAAATGTCTATCTACTTTTGGGCACTGCTCAGTGTACACTGGTTATTGCCTGGCCACCAGGGGTGGAGCTACATGGGGGGCCAGGGGTGGCCATGGCCACCCTTAGCCAATCATCGGCCTCTCCTGTCACCACCCCTACCATTTTTCCCTCTAATACAGACAGTGGCAACAGTAATACTCAAAAGTGGAATATTCAAAACATTTTAATTTTTCATACATTAACATTTACTTGATGACAAAAACATTTTGGTTAAATATGCACATCAATATACTGACATTATAGATGATAAGTACAGAATACCTGCTCTTTTCAGAACTAGATTTTGTGTTTTATGGGGTAAAGAGAAAAATGATTTGTCTCTGCAAGTCGAGTATTCAGTGAAATCATAGATAACTATTTTAATAAAAATGTATTAAATTATCTATTTATGTAGATATTAGTACTTGTAAATATATATATTTTTTTCCTGAATGACTGATAAATGTAACTAATGACAAAGGAAAAGATGTTCGCCCCAGAACTCAAACCTGAAAGAATTGTATCCACTATACCTTTTATCTAGGAAGATGTTTAAATATGTCTTTTTTTTTTTTTTTTTTTTTTAGCTAAGGCTGTAGGAAAGCATATTGTGTCTTTATTTAGAAAATGTGGATCTTCACATCTTCAATGATATTAATCCTAACAATATTTTTGGCACTAATTGAACTCCATACTTGCGGACTGCCCGTGTGGAGGTGGGTGGGAATTCAGCTCACGCGGTTGGCGACGCTGTGAATTAGGAACACATAAGAAAAGCTGTGGAGCTGCTGCTACAGGAATTCTACCGTCATGGAGCCGCGGAAGACGCTGTTCTTCTTCTGCTCGGTGTTTGCTCTAAGTGTCCACCTGAAGAGGGCTTCAGCAGGAGGTGAGAGTGGAAAATCACAGTTTATAGTTTAAAAACAAGAAACGCCTCTCTTTCTGATAGACATTGTTGAATTTGTTACCGACCAGGCCTGTTTGTTAAAGGGTGTTTTACTTTCTTTCCTGTTCTTGGGGGGTTGAGTCGATAAAAAGCGTCTCTAAACATTATCGCAGGAGGGTTTGTCAATAGTCTCCAACTGTCCTGAATGTCCCTAAATCTGACCCTGCACCGAATGAGGACGCTCACTGTTGTTTGTGTTGTGTTGCGAAACGCTTTGAAGCTAATCTAAAGGAACTTGTTTATTTACGAGTGTTTCAAAGCCGAATTAGTCAAAAACGTTAACAAAAACCTCACAAACGAACCGTTTTTAATTAGTGACGGTGTTTCTAGACCTTAAAAGTGTAAAGGGGAACAAGCGTCTGGAGAAGAAACTGCAACCTAAAGTTGAGTTTTAGCTTTCTGTACATATGCCTGTCTAAAAATAAAGTAAAATAATGATAAAAGTAACTAAATAAACTATATATATATATATATATATATATATATATATATATATATATATATATATATATATATATATATATATATATATATTTTTAGCTCTTGGACATTTTTATTATTATTTCATAATGGATAAAATTAAATAGTTTTCAGTATAAGAATTGTAGAATTTGTTTTAGGTCAAACTTTCAGAAGTTTTTGACGGTCTCAAGAAGAAACTGCCTAAAAATAAATAAATAACTGCAACCTAAAGTTAAGTTTGAGCTTACTGTACATATGCCTGTCAAAAAAATAAATAGATAAAAACAATATATCAAAGCATGTTTTTTTCAGCTCTTGGACATACTTTAATAGTCCCAGAGGGAAATTACTTTTGTTACACGCTCCAGATATATAAACATGAAACTCTTTCTTTAAACCACTCCAATATATTTAGCACTGCTGCCTTGCAGTAAGAAGGTTTTGGGTTTGATTTCCGGCCCTGGGGTCGTTCTGCATGGAGTTTCCATGTTCTCCATGAGCATGTGTGGGTTTTCTCCGGGTACTCCGGCTTCCTTCCACAGTCCAAAAACATGACTGTTAGGTTAATTGGCTTCTCTAAAATTCTCCTTAGTTGCGAGTGTGTGTGTGAATTTTTTTTGTTTTTTTTCCTGTTAGTCTCTAGGCACCAGCACCCTTCGCGACCCCACTTAGGATTAAGCGTGTCCGAAAATGGATGACAGTGTGAGGGAGAAAAGTGGTATTTCAGGAGGAGTCTGTGTGTTTAAATCTCAGTGTTTCTTTTCTTATTTATTTTGTACTAAGTAACTATTTTGCATAGTTTTAATCTTGTTTTTGGACTTCTTGTTAATTTTTGGTCCAAAGCTGAGAGAGTTCTTAGGAACCAGGGTCTTAGGGGGTCCTTTCCTCTGTGTCTTCCCCTTTACGCACAGGAACCAAGCTTAACCATTTCTAAATAGCAGACTCATAACCTCCTGATATCCTACACTTCTGTAGAATATAGTTGTCTTGGCTTTTCATGACTACTAAGTCTTTAGTCATCTTTTCCTTATTGCTACAGCAGTCAAGGGATAAGTCTGACCTTTGTCCAAAGTAAAATATAAATGTGTTAGAAAAATGTTTTGCTGTGTCCACAATTATTAAGCAGAGAACCATAGCTAAAAGAAGAGGTATATGTGGAATTATATACTCCATTCAAGAGCTTTTAGTGGCAGTGATCGTCTGTCATTTAGGTTATACACAGCCTTCTTTAGAATTCACTTCTTCATTTTGTAACACTGTGCTCAGACTATTCGTATGATTTTAAATGTGTCTTTAGTAGACTATAGAGTAACAAAAATCCAACCATCATTTGTCAGAAAAGTGCCAAACAGATGTACTTTAATTAAGGTGATATCTTGATGAAAAGTCTGGCGTCTGATACCTCTGTGACAGCTCCCTCCACTGAAAACCCACCAGAGTTAAAAACTTAACCAGAGTCTAAGGCAGACAATGATTTGCATGTTCCAGAGTCCAGATCTTGGAATCATTGTTCTTCTAACTTTGGTTAGGTTATTAGTTTTTAGCAGTAAACAAACCAACGGTAATCTTTGGAGGGAGAAGCAGTTTGTGGAATAATGTAGACACTAACATAAATGCAGATGAAATTAGGCAATTTATGAATTTTTTATTAAAATGAGCCTTTTTTTTATATAAGAAAGCATTAAATACTGACCTGCTACTTTAATGCTAGATTCTAAATTGTTCAAACATTTACAGCATGATGGTAGACTAGGCTGTATGGTGAAATATCCTTAGTGCAGACACATGCTGATATTTAATTTTTTACATATCTTTATATAATAAAGAGCATATATTCTCATAAATAATTAGTGCACATCAAAACTTGCAATACTACATCCTGTGGAAAATCCCATTATATTCTCTGCAGCAGCAAACTGCAACCTTCTCTTTGATGATTTTCCCTGCTTCCTCTCCCCTGGATTGTGCCAATTGTTCAGAAGTAGTTAAACAAATAAAGTTAATTTCTCTCAGCAGTATCTGCAGCTTGCAGTAGTGCAGAATCTAGCCTCTTGCAAAGTTTATTGTTGTCTTTCAAAATGGCTGACAGGAAATTTGCTCCAATTCAAGTGAAAATATGGACTCCTTGCGAATACCTCAGATTGCAGCTACTACCTCTTATGTCCATCTCCTCTCCCTGAATGTTAGACATCATTGCACGACAATCACGCACTTGGATGACGCAGGTCAAACTGAGACTACAGCCTTCTGGAAAGGAACTAAAAAGAAAACAATAACTAATAAATATATAATGAATAATAAATATAGCAAATGTCTGAAGCTCTCAATTCTAGAACCCAAAACATGATGATGCATACATATGATACATTGCCACACATGCACTGGAAAAAAAATCAGAATCTAGATAAGTTTTTTTTTTTTTTTTTTCTTAAAATAAGTGCAGTTGTTCTTGAATTGAGGAGGTAAAAGATACATTTTGCCAATAGGATACAATTGCATTGTCTTATTTCAAGTGCATGTTACCTACAATTCTTATTTTAAGAGTAAAAATACTCATTCCATTGGCAGATTATCTCATTTACCTATTCAAATGTTGGTAAATACACTTAATTTAAGACATTTTTGCTTGTTTCTAGATTGTTTTTGCAGTGTGGCAACATTTTATCTTTTTGTAAAACACCATTGTATCTTTAGGTCCTTTCACACAAAGGATTGGTGGAAATCTTACAGCTCCTAGCGGTGGATAGGAACGTCAGAAGGTCCCTATGCTAAAAGAATTGGTGCTAGGAAGTGTCGTCCTTCCTAGCTCCTTCCTTACTGCCAGCACTAATCTGACAGAGCTTATCATGGAGACCGCTTTGGTTTACATGATCTAGCTGATTGGCACTATTGTGAAGAAGCCATGGTTTTCATTAAGTGACTGTAAAGGACAGAACACACCGGATCTGATTTAGTGTCCAATCTGACAGAAAATCATGTCAGACGCGGTTTTACGCAAAGGGTGCTTGCGTAGGTCTGACTCGGATAGAGCCCGGATCTATTTTAGTCGGACTACGCAGCATTTCATGGGTCTGACAAGAAAAGAGAGACGTGGTTACAAAGTAAAACCCATCCCCTTTGGGGAAAAATACAAAATAAAATCAGTTAATTGCACAGAGAAACAGTAAGTTTTGGAGTTGCACAGAGCATACACCGCAAGCGGGTCAGACTCGTACAAAAACAATCAATGAAACAAGAAAATAGAATACTTTACCCATGATAGGAGTTCAGGAGTACAGAAGACAGATAAAGTAGTGATCCTCTTTGAGCGTTGCAAAAACGAGAGACAGAAAGTGCAGTTTATCATTCTCATGTGGAAAAAAAAAACTTTACAAGGAGAAAAAAGGATGTAAAATAGTGGTCCTCTTTGAGCCTTTAAAAAACAATATAATGAGGGGCAGACAGAACAGGGAAACATGCCGTATCTCTCTCAACTCTACGAAATAAAGGAAAAACTTGGATAAACTGCCCAGATCTCTCTCTGGGAGTCACCTCTCACTGCCTCAGTCAGAATATAAACCATGCAACAGTGTTTATTGTTGTTTTCTTTTGTTTAGATGTAGATCTTATGTTTTTTATAAAGACATATGAACATTCTCTATCTGACCTGGTTTCAGATGATGCACAGACTCATTTTGCTTTAGCCTATAGAATGTGTCAATATGTTTTTTTTTTGTTTTTTTTATTTTCACAATCTCTCAAAGTCAAATGTGGGAAGTGATTTTAATTTGTGTATAGCACAGAGACAGAAGTGGGGGAAAAAAATATCTGCCTATAGTAGGATTCTCTCTACTTAGGTCCACACGAAGTCAAAACGAACACGAAACGCTGATATTTTCCAAAACGTTTGCCGTAAAGACGGAGACGTAAAATAAATGTGAGCGTCCACACAAATGCATGAAAACGCTGCAAAATGTATGCCAGGCCTGTAAGTGGCGCTGTGGTGCCAAAGCAAAAATAAGCGACGAAATGTTGGGCATGCGCACTAATATTTATACATGGTTGCCCTGTGGGTCCATTTTCGTGGTTAAGTCAAATTCAGGTGCTGAACTATGTCGTCGATATTGCTCTGTTCTTCCTGGAGATATTCCAGAAGAAGAAGATTCTGTTGTAAGCCCGACAGCAGGGTGAGTAGCATTAGCAGCAACGGCGCCATTGTTGTTGTGATACTGGTCGCGCATGCGTGTTTAGAGGCGACGCTATGACGCATGCGTGTAAAAAAAAAAAAAAAAAAATATGCAGTTAGAGCGTAAAGATGGAAACGCGAAAACGGCGTTTCGAAATCTTCCCACTCTGAAGGCTGAATAAAAAAAAAGATCGTTTACAGACCCCCGAAACGCCGGCTTCGTGTGGATGAGAGGCTGGTTTGGTGAAAAATTTGTGCGTTTAGGCCAGGGTTCGTCTTCGTGTGGACGGGGCCTTACTGTCATGGAAAAAAAATTGGATTGGCCTTAAGGCACCAAGGGCCTCTGCCTTCAAAGCGAGGACGACTCATCACCCATAGACATTTAAGGTTTTTTACAGCTTGTATGACGGGTTCATACTTAAAAACACCTAATTGCTATTGTCTCTGGTTCTTTGTGTTATATATTTTTCTTCTGACCTTAAAGGAATAGTACACCCAAAACATGATTAGCCTTCATTTTCTACTCACCCCCATGCTGAACAACACTCTGGAGTACTTTTTTGATATCTCAAATGCATCTGGAGATCTGGGAGGCTTCTTGCTGTCTGCTGACATTCAAATAATGGAGGTCTATGGTGCCCGAGGCAGAAAGGTTCATAAAAGTCCACAAAAAACGTGTCAATATTCCTCCATACTGCTCGTCCAATGTATTCCAAGTGTCCTGAGTGGGTAGCGTCCATAATTTACTCGAAACGAAGTCATTTAGAATGTTTTTAGAGCATAAACAGTAGTGTATAGGATTTCCTAAAAGCACGTTCACGAGTCTACGGAAACCACGCCAGACCAAACCAGATGAAAGTGCGCATTCAGCTCGGCAAAGAACTCATGCTCTTCCTCAACACTGAAGTCCTCAGACATTTTTCTTTCGTTGTTTCATTCTTTGCACAGGTAAACGGCACATTTCTTCTTCTACGCTTGCATTATCGGCAGAGCAGACTCTGAATGCGCACTTTCATCTGGTTTGGTCTGCCGCGGTTTCCGTAGCGTCGTGAACGCGCAGGCGCGCGCTTTTAGGAAATCCTATACACTACTGTTTATGCTCTAAAAACATTCTAAATGAATTTGTTTCGAGTAAATTATGGACACTACCCACTCAGGACACTTGGAATACATTGGACGAGCAGTATGGAGGAATATTGACACGTTTTTTGTGGACTTTTATGGACCTTTCTGCCTCGGACACCATAGACCTCCATTATTTGAATGTCAGCAGACAGCAAGAAGCCTCCCAGATCTCCAGATGCATTTGAGATATCAAAAAAGTACTCCAGAGTGTTGTTCAGCATGGGGGGTGAGTAGAAAATGAAGGCTAATCATGTTTTGGGTGTACTATTCCTTTAAGTTTAGTTTCCTTTGAAATTGTTGTTTTTAAAAAGTTGCGGCCAGTTTTGCCTAACAAATAGCTTCTGGGTAGTTCTCAAATGTTCTGTTTAATGCCAGTCTGACTTTTGAGGTGATATTGCAGTGCTGTCCACCCATGAGAAAATGGGCAGCTGTCTAGAAGGTTTTACACTTCCACCTACAAACCTTTCCAGACTGACAAGCAGCCACAGTTGCTTTTTTGAGTGTAGTGAAGATGTCAGACCAATGAACCAACAAACTTTCTGCCTCTGTAGATGCGTCCAGCTCTGGTCATTAGCATGTGATCAAACACAATGGCTGCATACTACAAGTCAAATATAATTATAACACTTAGACCTTTTCACAACTTTGTCACATTTACATCATACATTTTGATGCAATTAAATAAAACTATATATTTAAATAATTAATTATTTTTCTGCAGTCATGCTTATCGCATATTTTCCCCCTCTTCCTGTAAACTTGTTGATCTTTTTCTTAACTTTTACCATTCTCATTTGACCTTGATATACCTTTTCTTTCTTAACTGCACAGTATTTTCTTCTTTCTGATGTTTTTCATTCTCTTCTGCTGCACAGCTGTGACAAATGCGTTTTTGGTTTATTTTTCTCTGCTGCTAACTTGTGTTATTCCATCACTGTCCTGCTTTTATTTAAGACCTGTATTATTTATAACCCATTATTTGGTATTATTTATGATTGAAACACGCTTCTGTCTTTCAAAGGATAGACTATTTACAAGCACTAAATCTGTTTTTACTTGCATTTGAAAAAAATGGCTCATCAGAAATAATTTATACCCTTTACAATAATAAAAGGGAAAAAAACCTTTGGAAGACGAACCTTTCTTATAATTGCAAATCAAAACCCTTTTTAGGTCACTCTATAGCTTTAATATTTTATTTAAAAAAATGTTGGTAAAACTAAAGATGAATTTATAAATAGTTTGGATAATTTAGGCCAATATTATAGCTCCTTCTATTTGCCCTTTAACTTAACCGTCTTTCTAATCCCTGATAATAAGCATAATGATGCCACCGCCGTGTTTCACAGTGAGAATTTCTTTTTGCAGTCATTCTGTAAAGCATTTGTGATGCTCAGGGCTATAAGACACTTTTTAAACTCCCACCTGATCTGTATATCTTTGCAGCTTCTGCACATTCACCATGTCTCTTTGTCCAGCAGTTCAGTTTAGATGGATGGCCTTTAAAATATAGGTTCACAGACGTACCCTTCACTATTTCTTGTGTCAGATGATTCATTGAACTGTTCTGTGTCCAAAGCCTTAAATAAAACTTTATAAGAAAATTTTATTAACCATAATTTCCTCCCAGACCTGTCTGCTGTGCTATTGTTTTTATTATATCGGGGTGGCCATGTCCGATATTCAGTTTTAGGGCCGATACAGGCCGATGCCGATAAGGGGCCGATTATATCGTGCATCCCTAGCTGAATTACATGTTTAGTGTCTTGGGCGGTTGTTTGTCCTGAGATTTTATCTACACCAACTTCCTAGTAAAATAAGAATTGAACACAATAAAAAATGCTGATGCATCGATTCCAGTAAGATTAATAAAAATAATCAGCTATATAGACTTGATTTAAATATGAACATTTAAATCAAGTCTAATGGCAGCTCTTTAAGGTGACCTTACTTTATTACCTCCCTCAAAGTTATTGGTTCTGCTGTCCCGGAGCTTTGATGCTACATTTTGCACATTTAAATCCTTTTTTAATAAATTGTATGAAATCTTGTCTAGATTCTCAAAACCTTATGGCTGTTTGGTGTTTAGAACTTAGCACCTTCCAAATGTATTCCTATACATTCTGTCAAATGCAATATATGACTTGCAGCATTCTTGGAATGTATAAATGTATTTTAATTTAATCCACAAAATCATTAAATTTGGATTGGAAATGTTGGTATTTAGCGGCATTTGTTTCTTTATTTTTCAGAATGTCCTGCAGATGGACGCACCTGGGTTCCCTTTGGAAACAAATGCTACCACTTTGTCCATGGAGAAGAAGACCAGATCAAAAGCTACACGTTTGAAGCAGCACATTCACACTGCAGAGGATTCGGTACTTCTGATCATGTCAACTTTTTCACTGCTCAGAAATTGAAAGATTTGCTTTTCATGTCTGTGATTTTTGCCATCATGATGTTCCTTTTTGTAGGCCTTTTGACAATCCAGAGTGCAGAGGAAAATGAATTTGTCATGTCCTACAGTCCTGAGGTGTGGAAGGGGAATGTCAACATTTGGCTGGGAATGAAGTATGATATAGATGGTAAAGTTCATATCGAAACATGGTGATTATTTTGAGGGTTTAACCATGTAAAATTGGTTTAGAGTTAAAATTTTGTTTTGACTGAACAGTTTTTGTTTTAAAGGGGTCGTAGAATGCAAAACCTAGTTTACCTTGTCATAGATGAATAACGATAGTTCAGTGGGTGAAACGGACGTAGAGAGAAGTTCAAACCCCATCGACTCCTCCTTTTTCTGCAAATCTCACAATTCTAAACTTCCACCATAAAACGGGCGAATCCAAACGAAGCCCAGAGTTGATGTAAACTCGGATTTTGCCTTATTTGGTTCTGGCCTATACTTTTGTCATGCCCCGAAACTGACATACAGACCAGCCCACTGGTTCACTGGCCCAAGGGAGGGGGGTATGAAGTGCCGATTGCTGGGCTGCTAACTAGACCAGACCTCAGAGAGTCATGAGCTGCCCGTCCTCGGCTGGAGGAGTGGGGCTGGGGGTCGGTAAGACAGGCAGGGCGAAGCACGGGCCTGCCGGTGTCCAGACTACCATCACCGGGTCGGGTTCTGTTGCTCCATGCCCTGCTGGCTCCCTGCCCCCGTCGGCCGGGGTTCCCTGAGCTGACGGCTTGATTCGAATCCCTGGGGTGTTTGAACTACGTGCTGGACTGTAGTCGACTAAGATCCCGGATGATTTTGAAAATCTCCCCGGACATTTTTTTTAGGTATGAAAAGTAGGACATATCCAGGAAAAAGAGGACTTCTGGTCACCCTACCATATCAACAATTTGATGTTTCAGTGAGTGAGTGTTTGTTGCTATGATGCATCTTTGCTCAGCTGCTTCGCTCATTGTAAACCAACCAATCAGCACAGCTCATCTAAATATTCATGAGCATGCCATAAAAGGAAGAAAACTTGTCATTTCATTCTGAGGCTTATAACTAGGCTTGCATTAGGGCTCATAGAACAGCAATTTTCAGCCCAACCAATGTTACACACCCTATTCAGAAACCTTAAGGACCAGCACCAAACACCCTATAGAATCATTCTATGACCCCTTTAAACAATAACAGAAAATCCCTTTTAGTTCTGCTGTTAAAGTTTCCTTGAGACCCACAGCAGGAGATTTGATACTACCAGACCTATTGAAATAATTTTTTCTCTTTATTTGAAATGTTCTCCATTAAAAGCGGCACATTCAGTAATGGCAAGCACTGATTTTTGTCTTTTCAGACGATACCATGAAGTGGTCAAACAACCAGTCTGTTAGGTTTACTAACTGGGAGTACAGCCCTTCCCCTCCTGACCTCCCACTAGTGGACATCTGTGTGGCTCTGCACAGCAGCTCCGGACGATGGGAAAACGTGAGCTGCCAGGATGACGTGGAGAACGGAGTGGTCTGTGAAACATTTCTGAGTGAGTCTTCTGTTGGTTATAGAACCAAAAATACACAATATCACACATCTGTGAATATTTCTGCCTTTATTTAGAAAAGGTAATAATTCAAACAGCATTCTTCATGTTGTAACAATAGAGCCATAAACTAGTGGGGTTTATTTGAACATAAAGCTCTACATAATTGTGGAGAGAAAATTTAGCAGCTTTTACATTTTATTTGCAGAATAATAGAGATGCATGATCGGTTTTTCCCGATCTATTCCATTACCGTTACATGGGCTGAGTGTATCGGCCGATATCTGATACTGATCCAGTTCAACTGCTGAACGAACGAAACGCATTTGCCATGGGAGTGAAGGCTTTACATTATTTGGGGGGAAAAAAGATAACAAATTTACAGTTATAAATGTATTTTAGATTATTATATGAACAAATAAGCAGCAGAAAGAAAGAAATAATAGTTCTATGAGAAGTGCACTTGATTGGACCCCAGTAATATTAAGTCACAAATATCCCATCCAGCTAATTGGTCAACGTAGGAGCTGATTTCCGATCAAATATGGTGCATCTCAGCTTTCTTTAAAGACCATGAAGCTTCGATTGACACCATTAGCAAAGAAAAGCATTCTGAAAACTCCTAGATATTATGTAAGTCGAAAAGTCATCTGAACATATAGTAAAGAATAACTTCCAACTAGGGTTGTACTAAATCAGGAAAATATGTTAATGATAATGATGATGTTAGGATGACAGTGAGACTTTAGATTACTAAGCAAAATATTCTTCAATGTCTTTCTGCTTTACATTGTTTGCAGCTATAGACCATAACTTTACAATAACATCCCTCCTTAGATATTTTCTGCTGCAATCAAGCCTAAACAAATGTTCTGAAATATAGAACCCAGTTACCTCAAATTTATCTGGTTTGCTTGTATTTGTTATTTTCAACGTAGCAGTTGTGCAGCCTAGCTGCAAACCTACCGCGGCATAAAGGTGCGTTCACACCGAACACGTTCTGGATGTCAAAGCATCTGATTTACATGAAAAGTCTATGAGGAACGGCGTCAAGTGGTCCTGCGGCACATCCGAGCTTCAGGAGTGGCACATCCAGAGTTCAGAAATCAGAACTTTTGCAACTTGACACAGAGCATCAACCAATCAAAAAGGTTTATCCAGAAGTTTTCTTGGGAGACAGACACAGCATACAAACTGTGGTCACTTCTGCAGAGCTGTCTGCATATAAAAAATCAATAAATATAAAGGGGTTAAACTCCAAAGATTATAAAACAAAAAGTTGGCAGAAAGGATTATGTACAAAGAAAAGAGGGCAAGCTCTGATAATTCTCTTCATTAAAACATATTTTTTATAGAACTCTGGCAAAACAGTTTATAAATAGCCAAATTAACAACAAATGTTAAACTCATGAAAGCACAGCAAGCCAAGCTGCTCTCTAGAATGCACAGATAGAACAGAGCGGCTCAACATCCCGGGCATCCAGAGCGCCGAAGGGTCGAAGCATCTTAACCAGCGTTAAAGCCAGCGTCTTGGTATTTTTGTGTTTTTGACACCCAGAGTGCGTTCGCTGTGATTGGTCCTTAAAAGTCCCTGAAATTACAGACTGTACCTTTTTTAATATGTCCATCAACCCCTAAAAAAGTTTAGTCTAGGTGTTTTGCTAAGAACAAATTTCTATTCTAAAAAAAAACAAAAAAACAAAAAAACACTGTACTTGTTTTCCTATTTTTTTTTCTTTTTACTTTTTTTTTTTTACTTTTTTGGAATGACTTGACCTGGGTGACTGAGAATCTTCACCAACAAATGGCTGACAGGCTTGGAGCAAAGTCTTATTGTTTTGCACAATAAACATCATGTTTGTGAAAAAAACATCAAGGATACATTTATAACCCATTGTGATTGTACGTACTCAGTGTGTGAGCTTTGAAGTTGAGGTATGTATTGTTTCATTGTCTCTCTTCACTTTCTTTCATTTTGCTGTTCAGGCGAGGAGCAGCCCAGACCCAGTAAGTGAGGCTTTGAGCTTTGTGTTGTTGTTTCTCTATATATTCCTCTGTGATACTTGTCTTCATAGCTGAGACCTCCCCTGCATTGTTCCTTCTCTTCCTCAGAACCCAGTGCTGTGGTCTCCGCTCTGGTTATTCTCAGCGTGGTGGCTGTCGTGGGGGTCTCTGCTGTAATATGGTTTCTGCACCAGAAGCACAGTTTCGGCTCTACCATGATCACAGCGTTTGAGTACCACCCCCCATTCAGAGTCTTGGACTCAGATGAGTCCTGCCTGGTGGAAGCTGAGGAAACTCAAAGCTCGCCTTAAAAGAACACTCTCCCTTTGTCCAGAATAGGGTCTGGCTGGTTACTTCTTACAAAGATGTGTCAACTCTAAATTTAGTTGGTCAATTCATTTGGATCAATATTTTACTAACTTGGACTCAGAACAATGTATTGTCATCAGAGGGATACTACCACTAAGCTACTAACCTCAATAGGTGGAAATAACTGATATTACCGCTGTTGTTTTTAATTGATCTGCATTAATATTTTTGGAAATTGCTGCATGTCCGCTGCAATCAGGTGTTCATAGATGACTAAATTTATTAGGTTATTTTGGATCACAATTTTTATGAGCTTACTTTTGATTTATCCCACTTTTAGCATTTCTACACGAAGAACAAAGTTTTGAACATATGAATTAGTCTTTTTGTTTTGATTTTTCGAATGGGTAGAGGATCTCTGTTTATGGGGCTTTGCACATTAGATTTGTGTTTTCTTTTTGTTTGCTTTTTTTTTTTTTTTCCATTTCTTCAACAACAACAAAACAATGTCAGGGACACTTTTAGTGGCCAAAACATGCATATGAATATTTAAATTAAGTCTAATGGCAGTTCTTTAAGGTGACCTTACTTTATGACCTCCCTTACTGTTATTGGTTCTGCTGTCCCGGAGCTTTGATGCTACATTTTGCACATTTAAATCCTTGTTTTATAAATGTATAAAATCTTGTCTAGATTCTCAAAACCTACAGATATGCTGTTTTAAAGTTATCATTAGTCTACCTTTTTTTTTTTCATCCATCTTCCTAAATTCTTTATTTTGTAACAAGCTCTAAACAACCTGTATAATTAATTTTTATCACAACACGAACAAATTGGACTGAGCTATTGTTTGGTTATTTTATGCATGCAGATAAAGTGAAGTTTTTACAACCAAAAATGTAGTTTTACCTATCCTAAACCAGAATCAAGAGCTGCTTCCCTGTACTTGGCGAACTGTAAAAGCAGATTCAATCTTTAAATGAATGACCAGATATGAGCTACCTGTTTAATTGTCTGGTCCACAATCTCCTTTTGGATGATAAATGTGTGGTGCACCTTATCCTTAAATTTTTTTTTTTTTTTGTATTTACAGTACAAGAAGAGCTGGTGGTGGATAGAAGCCTTATAGGACTATGCTTTCAGTTTGACTATGACTTGTATTTTGTGGGCTTCACACATTTTTTCCTTTGTTACTGTTTAGCAAGGGAACCTTTCAGACCTCATACCGATGGGAATTCTTCACATTTGCCTTTTGAGTTTTTGCCACTTGTGTGTTAACTGCTATGATCTGGCAGGCTTTCTTTGTGGTTGTTTTTAGATGTGAATCTGTCTCTTTTGGCATATGAAATGCAATCTGATTTTAATGAAATTATAGCTGTGATAACCTGTGAATGAATAAAGACAATCATTTTATGGCTGTATGATGCCTATATTTAAAGTTCTGTTGAGTTCTTCAACTGTTTAGGCTTTTTGTAGCATTCACAATGATAGATTTTGGAGAAAATTGGTTTGTTTTGTGAATAATTTCATGATGATTTCCTGAAACAATGTTCCCAGGAGCTTTCAAGAAAACCAGGCCCACAGCATCACAGTTGTTCCACTATGCTTCAGTGTGAAGGCATACCCACCTACACTGCTAATTACAGTAAAACACCACACATTTGAGGTAGGAGAGAAACCTGACATGTAGATATGCTATAAACAGTTTTGATTACTTTTGTTCCAAATGCAACTCTTCTGTAATTCTCTAAAAGTAAGCTTTGATGATTAGCTTGCTGTCCTGCACAATATAGACAATTAAGAGCCTATAATTAAAATCATTGGAGGAAACTAGTTGTAGAATTGAGCCCTATTTTTTGAGCCACCGTCCACAATGGGCTTACATATCCAGCCAGATACAAAAAAATTGTATCTGAAATATTGAAATAATAGAATGGATTTATTGCATAGCACCAAAATACACCAGTTATTTGATTGCACTAAATCTTAAACTAACAAAGTAAAGTAAAATTAATAAAATGCTGGATTTCTCTTTTGTCACCAGGATTTTTCTCTTTTTTTAAAGATCAGTTATTTTCCCCACCTGACTAATAATTCTATTATTTATGTATATAGCTCCAATTCACAACATGTCATCATGAGGCCTTTTACAGACGGTAAAATCAAATTATACAGATTAGTTTAAAGATTTCTGTCCAAGTAAACCCATCCAGGCATTGACTGCAGATTTCGCTTCTTGATCAGCATGTAGCAGTAGTGAACATTTGTTTGCAGCAATCCCTTATATGGGGTGTATGAGGAGCTACAGCAGGAAAAACTCCTACTGAACCAGGCCCTGAACAGTATACTGCTACAATCAAATGGAGGTTTGCAAAGACTGAGGCAGTCAAACAGAACATGGTACCAATGTTCCATAAATACTTTCTATTATAGAGAAGGTGATAGTAAACTAGATCCATAGGTGGCTCTAACTAGGAAAGAAACATTTAAGCAGACAAGCTGTAAGCTGTTTTTTTTTTAGCTCAAAATGTAGATGTGAGTGCATGAGGCTAGTTGCAATAGAAGCTAAGCAATAGCTTCCTATGTCTAGGAAATAAGTGTTTGAAATCATACTGAGAGATCAATCTGTCTCACCAATTACTTCAAGTTGTTGATGGCAGCAGCCCAGGTGATTTTCCAGGTGTGTGCCATCTCTAAACTGAACCAGTCCAGGTGGAGCTACTATGCAGATGTTAAACAAAAGTTGAGTTGACAAATAATTCATAAAATATAGCATAGTAATGAAATGTGATCCCCATGTCCTCCAGCAGCCTAAGTCTATAGCAGCATAATTATAGAAATAGCTCAGCATAACAGCAGACACTATAAGCTTTATTAAAAAGGAAAATTTTAAGCCTAGCCTTAAAAGAAGATTGTGTGTCTGTCTGATAGCTGGTTCTAGGTAAGGAGACTGATGACTAAAAGATCTGCCTCCCATTCTTTTTTATTTTATTTTTTTTTTATTTAGAACTTTTTGAAACCACCAATAAAGCTGTGAGCAATGTGCTCTGCTAGGAACATAGGGAACAATCAGATATCTGATATGAGATAGGGCTTCATTCTAGGGCTTTATACGTGACAAAAATTGTTTTAAATTCTGCCCTGGATTAAACAGGGAGCCAATGATGAAAAGCTTCAATATGATAAATATGATCTCTCTTTTTCATTTTCATCACAACTCAGTCATTTGGATCAGTTGCAGACTATTGTAGACCTAATAATAAAAATTACAATAACCCTGCCTTGAAGTAACAGATGCACGAATTAATTTATCAGTTCTGGACAGGTTATTTTGACAATGTTGCATAGTTGGAAAAAAAATTATTTAATATGAGTAGTAGTGTTATACAGAGCATGGGTACAAAGGAAACTATATATATATATATATATATAGCCTTTGTACCCATGCTCTGTATACTGTAACACCACTAAATGGGTAAAGGATATGTTGATGCATGACTGAGGTATATTGATCAATAAGAACACCAAATTGTGAATACAGTCTAATGAGATCTGATATTATCCCTGTGATGTGAAAAGAAACACTATAAAAACAGGCTTTGTCAACATCTCTATGTGAGCTGATATAAGACCAAACCTAAAGAAGTCAGGGGGGGGGGTTCTGTTTTTGTTTTTTTGTTTGTGTTTTGTTTTTTTGTATTTTTTTTTCTGCTTCCAGCAACATCCAATTTTAAGTCTCCCTTAAGTCTGTCATCTAAAAATTCCGTCTGTAAATCCAGAACAAAGCCTCTGTCTATGTTTGTTTATCAGGTATTGAATGATCAAAGTCTGCTGTGAATCAATAACTCTGTTATTGTTTAATCATTGTGTGTGTGTGTGTATGTGTGGCCATGTTTTAATACCTGGTGGGGACAATTTCCTAGGAATATGCTACATTTTGGGGACTCATAGGTACTTGTGGGGACCAACAACTGGTCCCCATAAGGAAAGTTTCTCTTCTTGAGGTGGGGGTTAGGTTTAGGACTAAGGTGTGAATTGAGTTTAGGGATAGGTATGTGTCGGTAATGGTTAGGGTTAGGGCAAGGGTCATGGTTAGGCCATATAAATTAGTGGGAAATGAATGGAAGTCAATGGAAGGTCCCTACAAGGATATTGTGACACGTGTGTGTGTGTGTGTGTGTGTGTGTGTTTGCGCGCCAGGTAATTTCTAGATTTGACCACCAGATGGGACACAAACACACTTCTGTTGAATCTTCTTAAAGCACAGAATTTAATTCTCCAAAGATTTGATCAAGGGTTATATCATCCTTCATGCTTAAAGGTGAAATATACACCAAGTACAGATTTGTGGATAAATAATTGTCACAGCTGACATATAGAATAAGGTAGTGGATCTTTTCTTGGATACATGCAGAATGATCTGTGAGGTGGATTTATTGGATGCCCTGTCTAGTGGATATTTAAATTATTAATATTTCAACAAATAATAAATGGGCATCTCAGTAAGTTTAAATATCTGAAAAAGGAAAATGAATTTATAAAAAGGAAAATCATACATGAAATGGATCATTACACACAGAGTAACACATTTCAAGTACCGTATTTTAACGACCATAAGGCGCACCGTACTAAAAGGCGCAGTCTCAGTTATGTGTGCCATTTCTGTATTTAACACACACATAAGGCGCACCGGACTATAGGGCGCGTTTTTTATATACAGGTACATGTCCTCTACTACCTTTAAATAGCTCTACTGCGTATTTAAAAATACAGCGGGCCCAAAACTGAGTATGACTGTGCTTTATTCATGTATTTATTACAAAGTATTAATCAAACCTGGGAGCTGGCCATGAGACAGACACATCGCAGATGACACAGCGCTGTGATTACTCCTAAATTAACTTAAAATCCTGAAACCTGCCGACGGAATATGTTCGCTTTTATTGCCGGTATCCTGGTGCCTGCAGTTTAAATTATTTAGATGAAAAACACCTGCCAGCCGCCGCGGTGAGGCTGCTGTTGAAGGGATTTCTACTGTCGGTGCACCGCTGGTATGTGGGGGTCTGAGCGCCTCCGACAGAAATAGATAATCTGGATGAACTGACTGCAATTAAGTTTTCAGGTGGCCTTTCTCACTTAAAAACATATTAAAACTACTTTATTCCCACTGATCACAGCAAATATAGCTGCAAGATTTAGATTATTTAGATGAAAAAACACCTGCCAGCCACCGCGGTGAAGAGGAGGAGACCCGGCCCAGAGGCTGCTGTTGAATTAAGTTTTCAGGTAGAAAAATAGAGCGGGAGCAAAACTGAGTATGTTTGTGCTTTATTCATGTATTTATTACAAAGTATTAATCAAACCCATCAAAGTCATCATCCTCTGTTTCTGAATTAAACAGCTGCGCTAAATCAGACATGCCAATTTCCCCTTCTTCGCTGTCAGAGTCACTTTCCGTGCAGCGCGGCTCCTCAGAAATAATGCCGGCTTTTGCTAAAGCTTGAACAACAGAGCCAGTAGACACGTTAGCCCAAGCATCTACAATCCATCTGCAAACGGTGGCGTAACTTGCCCGGCGCTGCCTTCCACTTATCCTGAAACTGTGGTCTCCGTCTGTCATCCATCGCTCCCACGCCGCTCGCAGCCTTACTTTGAACGGCCGCTTCACACTGATGTCGAGCGGTTGAAGCTCCTTTGTCAGACCCCCCGGGATAACGGCGAGCACAGCGTTCATTTGATTCACCTTTTTTTTTCACATCGGCTGTGAGATGGGCACGCAGCGATGGTGATGCGTGGAAAAAAGCACCTGGTCTCCTCACATACACCTGCCTTTCATCATCTCATCCATCCAGCCTTTTTCATTTGCGTTAATATCATATGTCATCAGAGCGCTGTGTCTGTCTCGCTGTCAGCTCCCAGATCAGCTTCTCTGATTGGTTGATGTGGCGCGTCCAGCAGCAAACCAGCGCATTTTGCGCCTGCTGCTCAAAACGCGCTGCGGGACCTTTTGCTGCACCTATACGCGCGTCAACCATTGACTTTGCATGTAAACTCGCTGCTTCTGCTGCACCTGCTGGGTCCGGTTCACACCGATGTCGAGCGGTTGAACAGCGAGCACAGCGTTAATTTGTTTCCCCATGTTTTTCACATCAGCTGTGAGATGGGCACGCATGGAGTTACATATTAACAGCGATGGTGATGAGTGGAAAAAAAACACCTGGTCTCCTTACATTCAGCCACTCTTTCATCATCTCCTCAATGAGGTGGTCTCAAAAGTCGCAGTTACAACACACATAAGGCGCACTGCACCAAAGGGCGCACCGCACATTTTGAGGGAAAAGAAAAAAAAGACGTTTAAGTGCGCCTTATTACGGAGCCCCTCTGATGACATGGTCAAAAAAAATTTTTAATTGTGGCCACGAAGTAGTATTT